GAACTAAATAGAGATTATAGTAATTTAATACTTTTTATATATAAAGCAATTAGTTACTATATTAGGAGAAACTTTTAAAGTAATAAGTAAGATCTTAGTCTTATCTCTAGTAGGTTGCTTCTTACTTTCACTAAATCGGCCTATAAGGTCTTCTAGTACTAAAGAAGGTATAAGTAGAGCTAGTTACTAGATAGGAATAGCGAGTTATAATATTAATAGGTTACTTTATCTATATTTAATAGTAGTTATAAGATTAACTATATATCTATTAGTTTAGTTCTTAGTTTAATAGCTAACTAAAGTACTTATCTTTTTAAAGTATATAAGTAATCTTTTTATATATCTAAATTAATTAAAATATATCTATTATTTTTATATTTAGTCTCTAAGTATAAGTTAGATTATTTACTATAATAACTTTAGTTATTATTTCTATTACTAGAGTTCTCTATAATATAGATTCCTTATTCTTAAGTACTTTATTATATATAGAATCCTCTTTAACTAGAACCTTAGTTTCCTTAATTCCTACGATTAAATAGAAGTTAATAATTATTTCCTTATTCTCTATAGTTTCCGCTATTATTAAAGTAACGATTATTATTATCTATTCGACCCTAAAACCTTAATCTATTAGGTTTAGTATTCTTCTTTTCCTCTAACTTATCCTTATCCTTATCCTAATCTTTTAAATCCTCCTTCTATATATTAGTTTTAAATATAATATTATATAGATAATCTAAATTTATATTTCGTAGGTAGTTAGGTTAAAAGTTATTAGGTTAGTTAGTTTATTATAAGTTATTATTTCGTTACTTTACTTAAGAGCTATTATCTAGGAAGTTATCTTAGGACTTATATTTAGAAGCTTAGAAATCCTTATAGGCCTCTACTATACGTTTTAGCGTCTTTTATCTTTCTTACGTTTCTCTTTAGTTTAAGTTTATTTAAGTAAGAGCTTAATCTACTATAGCTTATAAAGCTATTAACTTAGACCTATTTTATTTACTTCTAACTATAGTTCATTAACTTTTTATTAAACCTTAGATATAATATAATTCTAAATATATATTATTTAATTAAACTTATTAATAATACTTATACTCTTTATAGCTTATTATATCCTAGTTATAAAGGCGATTAATCCTTCCTTTTTATTAGGATACTATATTTCTAAAAGAACTAGATTAGCCTTTAATAGATCTACATAAAATCGATTAGAGAGTCTCATAGTTGATATATCTAGATCCTTAAGTATAGCGGTTTATTCTATATCATTAATTTTATTATTCTACTAAACTATAGCTATACCCTACTAAAGGGAAGGAATAAGATCTACGATATCTTATAAATCGTAGGTTTTTATTAGCTACTTAAGTTTATTATAAAACGTAAAAACGTCTAAATAGATCATAAATTTACTATTACTTTTAACTATAGTTAATTTATCCCAAGGGTTAAAGTATCCGATATCTTTAGGCTTTAACTTATATTTAATAATAGCTTATATTTAACGTAGTTCTTATAGTTATTAGCCTTGTTCTCTTAGATTAACCGAATTTTATCTTAGATCTTAGTTTCCTAGAAGTTATATCATTAGGTCTTAATAGCGTTCCTTTATCTTTCTATTTTAGTTAATTATAAACGCTATAAATCTCTTAAATCGTTCGTTCTTTTTACTCGGCTTTTTTCGTACTCTAGTATTCTTTAAGGGCTATAGTTAATATAGTTCTTATTCTTTATAATTATTATTACTATCTTATCTATTACTAGTTCCTAGTCCCTAGTTAAATCCTATAAATCTATTATCTTTAAAGTATTATTTTAAATTTTCTTTACCTTATTTATTATTAATACTTACGTTATTATCTTCTTATATAAGTAAAGTAAAGCTAGGTAGTAGTTATATACTACCTTAGTTTTATCTAGCTACTATCGCTTATAATCTTATTATTATAGCTATAGGTTAAACTAGCTAAGCTATTAGGTTCTATAAATTTTAGCCTATAGGAGTGTCACGAATCACATGCTCACGTGATACTTGTCATAATAAAGAGGCGCAACCCTAGACAGGCACATCCAGGTTTCTTATAGCAAATAGGGATTGCTTAGGCCAGCTAAGCGATCCATGGATTTCATTTGGTTGTTGTCACGTGATGGACCCCGATGGTGTCACGAATCACGTGTAGCAATGCATGTGACAAAGGAAGTCCAGGCGGCGTCCTGACAGGTTAAGCACATCCATGGACTTATAGCAAAAAAGAGATCAGTTAGACTAGCTAAGCGATCCAGGGATTTCTTCTGGTTAAGAAAATCACGTGATCTAGTCGCCTGAGTCGCCTGAGTCGCCGGTCGACTGAAGCGATCAGGGCGAGCGACTAGAGCGATCAATCAGGGAACGAAGGTTCTATATAAGACTGGCACGTCTGCCATTAGATAGGAGCTTCGTGCTCAACTTAGTTATCAATCTTATCATATTAGTTTGACATCTTTGATACAAGTAACGAGTTCACTTCCAAGTGAACAACCCGATAGTCTTCTTCTTATCATAGCATACCAACCAGCGAACACCCAGCCAAGTTTAGTTAGCCAGTTTGAGTATTCGTTACAAGGAGTAGAATAGAATAATTACAAAGAAGCTTATTAAGTAGTTAATTAGAGTAAAGGAATTGATATATTATTCTACTTAAGAAAACGTTTTAGTTAAGCGTTAAAGGTCCTTTAAGTAAGAAGGTTAATATAGTAATTAAAGATAGTATTCTAAAAGATAAGATAAAGTAGATAATTATTAAGATAGTTATTAAGAGCTACTAATACTTTACTATTAATACCTTAATAAACGTATATATAAAGGTAAAGAAGATTGAGCGCTATTTTTAACTCCTCTTATACTATTAATATCTAGGTTAACCTAGAGATAACCTATTAGAGAGTCTTACTTATAACTAGAGTAAGAGCCATTAAAAATTTAAAGAGAGATTTTCTAGTACCTAATACTAGAGCTAGGTAATAATAACTAGATTTCGTTTTAAAAATAAGACGAACTTAGGTTCCGAGGTAATACTACTAATTATTAAGGATAAAATAAGAGACTATTAAAATAAGCTATAAAAGTAGATCTTTTTAAAGTAGCTAGCTAAGGTAAAGTAGTACCCTAATATAGGAGCTCTCTTATACTATAGAACCTTTTTATCTAAGACTAGCGTAAGACTAGTATAACCTATATAAAACTAGACTTAACCCTTCTAGAACTATATAGTATATAAGTTATCTCGCCTAATATAGGAGTTATATACTAAGTAAACAAAGGGGTAAACTCTAGTACGTTCCGTAATATATACTTTATAATATAATTATTATAATAAACTTTTATTTAGAACTTTTCGAAAAAGGTAAAAAATAATATATATTCGATATAATTCTATTTTAAATATTTAATACTAGGTAAGAGAAATTAAATAAGTATTATTAACTATCTAATTAATTCCTAGTATATATAATAGCTTTAGTTTTATTTCTATATAGGAAATAGTAATATGTTAATAAGAATTAGAACTTAAATTTTTATAATACTATTGAATTACTAGTTTTAGAGTTATAGAAATCTAAGTATAAACTAGTATTCGCGGCCTTAAATATAGCTACTTTTACTATTTATTTTAATAATAAGAATAAATTTATATAATTCCTATATAATAAGAATAAAGTACTTAATAAATTAGCCTTCTATAATAAATATAACTTTTATATTAACTCTTTAACTATTATAATATATAAGGATCTTATTACTTAGTGGTTAAAGATAGTATAATAATAATAATAGTATTTAAACTTTTCTCGAATAGCCTTAGATATATTATTAATCCTAGTAATATTAGTAATACCTAAGCGGTTATTTTCTAGTACTAAGATTATAATTATAGACTATAGGAATTATCTTAGTATTAAAATAACTAACGCTTTTATATATTTAAAGAACTAGTTTAGAATCTTAGATATAGAAGAGGTAGTACTAGTTATTAAAAAGAAGACCTGAGAGTTAAAAGAATAGAATAACGCGGATATTATCCCTTCTAGACTCGAGAGTACTAGGTGCGGTCGTACGTTCCTAGTAGAGTAAAATTATCTACTTTCTAAGTACTTTACGCGTATATATATACTACTAATACTAATTACAAATACGTATAGTACTACTAGTAGTAGATATATTATAATTTAGAGACGAATTTATAAAGGAAAATAGAAGTAATAATTTCTATAGAATCTCTAGACATTTCTCTCTATATTTATACGCGTCGCTATACGATTTATTATAGTAGCTAGTATGCCGAGCAGAGAAATCTTTACATCTTCATACCGTGTTTTTACGTGTTAAGGCTTAATATATATAAACCTACTTTCCAAGAAATAAGAGAAGTAGATAAGTTTATATAATAGGAAGTTATAAATTTAGACTAAAATTAACGTATAGTTTTAAGAACTACGATAGGGTACTTAGTTTTATCTTTATTTAGTATTATTTTCAAATATCGATCTAAACTATCTATAGTTTTACAGTATATTAAACTAGGCACAAAACCGAGTAAACTGAACTACTGCTAACACTGGTAGAGTATAGTATAATAGTATAAGCAGCTACATAATACGAAACAATACTATACTTCCTCACTTCGAGTTTTAGAAACATCAGACAATAGAAAGTTCCTATAAGCAGAGAACCACAGCCACAAGGGAACTATCACAACGTCCCAATCTCCAATCCAAGGCCCACGACGAGCACAGAGTGTTCTGTACTGTTATAACAATGTCATTGGAACAAAAGAAAGCACGTAGCCTATATTTATGTTTATGCATTTTCATACACCCTTCCCAAACCCCCGCAATGCATACCTACAATAAAAACATTCTCATAACCCCCTCCGAGAGAAAAAAGATATCGATGCTATCATACACCCCACCCCACCCCATCAACTCCATACTCCCAATTAAATTACCATCCCTCAATGCGAACCATTTACCCCATTGACCTCACCACCACTCAGATTGTCCAACTCCTCCTTCCGAATGCGATACAAATCTTGAGCTTCCCTCTCCCTTCTCGCCACGAAGTTGACCTCCTCACACAGTGATTCAAGCCGCCTCTGGATAGCTGCCTCCTCACTGATTTGCAATGTCTTGAAGGAATCTAGAGAGTGGGTTGCTTTGGTAAGTGCTTCAGCAGCTTCTCCAATCTTGGCACGAAGAATTTTGGCGCGGTTCTGGTATCCCCCGAGATGGAGGGCAAGTTTCTTCTCCGCCTTGTTGCCAGCTTGAGCAGCGTTGACAATGGATTCTTGAATTTTCTAGAAATTATCATTAGTGACTGGGAGTGGATGTGAGAGGGTGTGGAAAACTTACGTCGAATGCTCCCATGAGTATTTGCTGTTCATCAGTTTCGTCGTCATCGTCGCCGTAATTACTAAAGCCGCGCAAGCGGGATGTATTGTGAGCTTCATTCCAAGCTTCTTGGAAATATTCAGGGCCGGCGTCGGCCACTTCTCTTGGGACTTCGAGCATGATCTGTAAACGAGCTTGGGCGAGAGCATCGTCATCAATAGATTCGACGGTAGGAGCTTGGCCTTTGACCTTTGCACCGGGAACAGGATACTTGACAGCATCATTTGCGATTAATATAGCGACCTCCTTCTCGATGGCAGCTTTGACAGGATCGGAGATATCGGAGGCACTCTTCATGATGGCGTCAATTTCAACCACAGAAGAACGTGGCAGTCCTTTTTGCATGACCTGGGTTCGTCGTCGGAAATCAAGCTTCTCCTGTGCTTCTCGGATCTGTCTATCTCTCCTGTCTCGAATTTCGGCATCTTCTTCGGATGATAGCTCTTCAAATCCAGCAGATTCCTGTTGCTCTTCTGGTAATTCCAATTCCCACTCCGTGTCCTTTGGTTTTGGCAAAGAAGCAAGTCCTTGTTTCAACTTGGATTTGTTGGCCATTTCTGCCAATCTGAGATCCCTTGGAGTACTGCCAACTAATTGCATCTCACCATCTGCATTGAGAGTAAACGAATCGCGAGGCGTTCTCATTGGCGTGGATCCTGGTAGACCAGGTGGGCGCATTGGTGTTGCTCCAACCCCATTCCCTTGTCGAAATGGAGTTGCCATAGGGTTAGGGGTTTCCATTTGGTGTCTTCTTGGAGTGACACCATCGAACCCGGTACTTCCAGCACCTTCATATAGAGGTGTATTATCACCACCCAGTAGAGATGATTGGGTCTCTGTGAGGGCTCGGATATTTCTGATTTCATTAGCGATATGGTCCTCCTGGGTCGGTGCTCTTGGTGTCCGTATGGGCGCTCCACTGTTGATAGTAGAATATGTGTTGACTAAACCTCGCGTCGCATCATTTTCACTTGATCTTGCCATGATGTTCGCCCGCTCTCCAATCATACCCATTTTCACAATTTCCTCGAGTTCCCCTTCTCCAACTTGTGGTGAGGGCAAAATTAGAGCTCTACGCTTACTGCTTTGCTCGGCCTCCCGAATCTTTTGCATCTGGCCTGCTTTCATAGCGGCTGCATAAGATGCTGATGGAGCTTCCTTCTCGCCCTTTCGTTTCTTGCGCTCGGAATCATCTTCATGGTCTCCTTTTCGTTTGTTTGCGAGCTGTTGTTTCCGAGGATCAAAAGCTTCCCTTTCTCTTTCGTTCTGGATAGCCTCAGTTTCGGTATCGAAAAATCCAGGAGCTGCCTTTTTTTCAAATGGAATGTCTGCATTGTAATCCATCTGGCCCTTCTTGCGATTGACCACCTTAATATTGATTCCTGCATTCTTAAGCTCTCGACGCTTCTGTAGAACTGCCAAACGTCGTGATTCCTCCAACTGTCTCTCGCGAGCCTTTCTCTTTGCCTTCTTTCCCTGCGTATTTGCCAAACGAGCACGCGCCTCACTCAGCATCTCCTTCTCATCCTCGTCCAGATCAATTGTATCGGGCCTCGCGGGTTTCGATTCAGGATCGGGATCGACTTCGCCAGGTCGCAGTCGACGAACATCGTCAGCAGATGGTGCTTGTGTTTCTCCTCCATCTGGTCCTCCTAGTCCCAACCCTCCAGCTTCTTTCTGCTCAGCCTCGTCCAACAACTTCTGGTATCGTTCGAGGCATTGCGTCGCAGTCCGTCCAACCATGGGCGCAATCGTTCGCCATTGTGTTGGCATCAACTTTGCAAGATGCAAAAGTTTCTCGTCTTCTTCTTTGCTCCATTCTATCTTCCGAATGCCTGGGTCCAGCCATTCTCCCCATCTGGCCTTACACTGCTTGGGTGTCTTTCGCGCAAGCAGGGAAGACACACGAGCCCATTGATTCAGGCCATATTTCGATACAGATGCCTTCAGCACTTCATCTTCAATATTCGTCCAGACTCCTCCTTTGACGACGGGCATGTTGGCGATGTTGTAAGGAAATGTTGATAGGTGACTTGCTGTCGCGAACCCTTCCCTTTAAAAGTTGACTTTCATTACTGGGCCGTCGCGAAAGCCATCGCGCACGTGCCATGCGACAGGGGTGCGAATGAGGTGAGGGCAAACTTGAGGTGAATACTGATAGTATCTTATGTCATAAATCAGTCTCTACTTACTTTTGCTTCCAGTACCAATAAATGAGTGAAGAGTTACCAGGAGTATGTTTTAAAGCTCACAAAGTCATATTGTGAAAATTGGAGTTTTGGAAACCAGATGGAATTGGTTGGAGTGAAGACTCGAAAGTAGCTCTCTCTCTCTTTCACATACAACCACATTTTCAAGTTCATGTTAATGATTGCCACATGATAATTCCCAAATTTAATCAATAATTGAAGGGAGTAGGAAATTATTGGAACAGCGAGGGAGTTTTCAAATATTCCCGAAGAAAGTCTATTAGTACAACAAAAGTGAGAGACTTCTTCAACAACAAACGATCACTTCGAAGCAAAGCAATACTCAACTTCCAATTATTCCATCTACGCTTTCATTCGTGATTATCATCTCATGAAGTGTACAAAAGAATCGCTTTTCCAACATAACTTCTCAACGGTGAAAACCTACCCAACCTTCCAACCCACCCACATCTCCCCTCCAACCCAAAAAGTAGCCCTCAACTACTGACAAGTATAACTAGTAACCACCGCCGGCCTCGTATCAGTAACCGTAGTCGTCCTCGTTACCCCGGGACCCACCCCCCCATAAACATCCGAAATGACCAAACTACACCCCTTACAATCCACAAGCGAGAGTCTCGTCTGCGTCAAACTGCGATACGTAAACGTGAATCCCATCTGCGCACTCGCAGATCTCCAAACCGTAGTAGCGCACGCAACGTCCCTCTGTTGAGGTGCTTGTGTCTGAGTAGGGGGCCAGGAATCCGCAGTTTGGTAGAGAGTCGAGGTTTGGACGACACAGTTGTTTACGCATGTTCGGCAAGGACCTGGGAGGGTTGTTGTTGGGGTGGTGATGCATTGGGGATTTATGAGAGGGATGGGGATGGTGGTTGTGAGGAGGGCGAGGCATTGAGTTGTTGGGAGGCAGTTTGTTAGGGCTGGGCAATCTGGTGGTGTTGGTGGTGATTTTGTGAGGGTTAGGTACTATCTTACCTTCATCATAGGATGGAATTTGTCTCGTTTTTGTATAGCAAGCGCTCGCTGGCACGATCAATGTGGTGATGTGAGAAGTCGTGATAAGTTTTGGCGAAAGGACAGCTGCTTCGATGACAATAGCAAACTGGCTGTGAAAACATCAGGCAATGAAATTTTGGGATAAGGATTGGCGATTGGATGCTCACATAGCGAAGATTAGCAACAACAAGCTAGGTCGAATGAGAAAGGCCATTTTGTGATAGAAATCGAGAAAATGTATCCCCTAAGTGACTGAAAAAGATTCGAAAAAGCACTGCGCGTCCTCAACCCCCCCTTTGTAAGAAGCTTCCCAGGAAAACATTCTGAGAGTTTTTTATAAGCTCTCCTGTACGCTGAAAATTTTCTAGGCAACGAGATTTAATAACGGTAAAAGTGCAGTCCTCTAAAGGGGCAATTCCCAAGTAGTCATTACGGAAACACCCCAACCGCAGCCGGAATAAAAAGAACCGGCAGCTCGATATCATGGAATACCAGAACAAAACTTGAGTGGTGCCATTATATTGTACAAACCATGGTATTCTACATACCCCAAACCTAAAATGCCTGTGCAATAGGTCTGGTCTTTCTATGAACATTTTGCCTATATCCCCAAACCCTGTCATGGATAATAGACCCCGTAACTGCGTGAACTATTTCTACAAGCCAATCATCTCGGCCTTCTCGTTTAAACTGAAGAAAAACAATCATCTGTACAATGCCAAGCGCCCTTTGAAAATGCAACCCATAAATGCCCGCACGCGCGTCGCTTTTAGCATCTATCCAAAGAAACTCCTAGTTTCCCAAAATGGAGACCCCACCCCCCCCATTACCTTGTCAAAGACCGTGATGAAGCAAGATTTACTTGCAGAAAATGAAGACTTCATGAAAAGAAATATTGACTATTCTTAGTTTGCGATACATCGAATCCGCCCTACATGGTTGTTAGTCAAACGCTTCTAGTTAGATCGAGGTACATGCTCTTACCTTTTTAGGAATTGGTGGAAATGTCAATGGGAGCCAAACTGGTATGGCTGTTCTTTTTTTATTTCTCTGCTTCATAAAGATTTTCTTCCAAGGGGAGGGACCGCGATTGGTTGATTCCGAATCTTGCTCTCCAGAATCGGCCTCGTCTGATTGGTGTTCTGGCAAGAGGGCGTCATTCTCTGGATCAGACTCATGAAATTGCTCGTCGTGGGTTTGCTCGTCATGAATTTGATCATCGTAGATTTGCTCGCTGTGAGTTTGATCCAAATCCTCCTCTTCCTCTCCAACTCCCTTAATACTGGTTTCTCCTTTCGACAATGCACCCAAGGCAACTTCGGCTACGTGGGGGTCGCTCAATAAATCCCCATGTTTACTAAACTTTGCGAAAATGCTCGCAGGAGTCACCATTTCCATTCCTACTTTCACCTCCTCCGGGTTGTCTGATTCAAGCAGCCTAGATCTTTCGCGCTCCAATATCAACTCGTGCAGATAGCCTGGCTTTTTGGGCCCTCCGTTGTATTTTTTTGGCAGTGGGTTGGCTTTTCGCCACTTTGCGATCTTTTCGGCGACGTCTGTGTTGATACGGATTTGAGCTTGGTACATGCTGCCCTGATATCTGCTCACAAACTCGTCGCGTAAACGCGCGATAACATCCTCTTCATGAAGCTTGATGAAGCTATCTCGAAGGGCAATATTCATTATCGGGACATCCGCAGCATGCGTCCAGAACGAGTCGTGTACCGCTGCAAATGATAGCCCAGCCCTGTCGCATTCTATTGCAGAGAGTAGCATGTGAGTGGCATCCAGAGAATGAACAAAGTTTGGAGGAAATGCCTGAAGCTGCTTTCGCTTCTGGACAGGATCGGTTCGATGGGGGTTCATCAGCAAGATATTCTGCATGCTTGTCAAGACAGATTTGGTCTTAGACGAGCGATATGGCTGTACGACAGGCATATTCAAGGGTGTTGTCCATATGACTGTAGATCTGAACATGCAGTTGGTGTTCAATTGCTCCAACACTCGGATCTTCCCTCGGGGTGTTTGGTTATTGAGGTTGGGTAACTCAGCCTCGATGAAAGATATCTGTTCCCGTGTCAAAGAAGTTGATATCCTCCCGGCACATTCTCCAAACCAGAACTGTATGTCATGAGCTCCCTTGAACATGTTACCGAGAACTTTGAATATCTTTGACGCTACATATCCAGCGAGGGCTTCCACAGTAACTTGGTCGGTACCAAGGTCTGGTAGCGACGCGAGAAGCTGCTTCTTGACCTGGGACTTGGCGCCGACGTAAGTAACCCCATACACATTTGTCATGACCGTTTGCTTTACAGTCTTTCGAGTGATCTTACCGTCCAACTGTGCTGCATGAGGATTGCGATTCTGGGCATCTTTGGAAATTTCCTTCTGCACCAATTCAGCGACCGCAGAATAAACATCTGCAGGACGGTCCGAGGGCACAAGATTGACTTGCTTAGCGCCCCAAAGGTCACCACCTAATGCGGCGTAATGTTGCAAACCGTTACATGTACCATCTTGGTGCACAGGAAGTTTGGATACAAAACGAGCAGGATCCGGCGAATCAAGGGCACTTTTGATTTCCATACAAGCAGCCAAACATTGCCATGGATCCTCCGCGTCGAGCCACCATTTATCTCCACCCATGGGGTTTGATGCAGAATCGTAGATTTCGGCGACATGCGTATCCGCGAATTCTTCTCGCTCCCGAAGACTCGCTTTGTCGTATCCAAAAACGTTTGAAAGATGGATCTTAAGCCATTTGAGTCCAGTCTCGCCAAGCTCTTTACCCTTAGCGAATCTTAGCAGACCTCTGCAATGGTCAGCACCCATGTGATTTAAATAAGGTGGTATAGGGTAAGCGCGTCCTCGAAAATCCAAATTGTGAGGGAAGTAAAAGGTTTCGTCCCTCAAAGCCCGGGCGATTTCAAGTTGGAAGTTTTGAAAACATCTTTGAGAGTGCAGCCCAGTTTTCTGATTCGCAATCCGCTTCACCTCATGGAGCCACTTCCGACGCTGCAAGGGATCTTGGGTACTTTCAGGCTCCTCTGGAATTTCTATTTCTGGATTTTCAGGTGGTATGTTAGCAACAGCCTTGCCTGAGTTCCACGCTTCTAGCATAACTTCAAAGACGGGTTGATTGATGGTCCAACCCGTTTTGCCGAGCACATCCAAACCTTTGCATAACTCCTTCATGTCACCTTGTCCAATAGCAGCTTCCGCATAATATCTTTGATCTTTGTCTCCTTGTTTTACTCTCATCAGCTTGGAAGGATGCGCGAGGAAACCTCCTTTATCAAACATGGTCCATGGATCAGGCTCAACCAGCATTGGCAAATGTTTTGCCAGAAGACCGTGTACTGGTTCCCGCTTCAGGGATTCGACCAAAGCTTTGTTGGCGGAAAGAATGCCAATTTTCTTGCCCAATCTGTAGTGAAATGAATGAGTGAAAGCTGGTTGGAGTTGCACATTCTCAACCTGTGTCGTCTTGTGCTTGCAGACCACTGGAACCTTGGCACCGTCAACTAGAGCAGATAACAAGTATGCACCAACTTTCGCTTTCAGATTCAATGGCCACGCCGCCCAGCCCAGATCAGAAGACTTCCCACTCTCTTTACTCAGTGAAGTAACCAGCCTGGTCGCTGTTCCGGTACCGCGTTCCCGTGTAAGTTTTTTAAGATTTCCGAGATCAAGAGCTCCGCTCTTGGGCCACAAATGCTTTTTGCGGGCTTTGTCGATGGCCTGGAAAAGACACTCTTCTTCCACGGCATTACCAAGACTCATAACCAGTCGGGTCAGACCAAGACCTTTGTCGGCTCCTGATGACCCTAATTGGGACATACACGTGAGGATAGTAAGGGCAGCCAATTGATCAGGAGCAAGCATTCGTAGAAAAGGGCCATACAGACAACGCTCCTCATCTTTTCGCGTCTTTATTTGGATAGTTTCCGCCACTTCGACCAGCTCCAGCTCTCGTTTGAGAGTCTTTGTGAGAATAAGCTGCCATTGCCACATCCTTGCTCCTATAGACTTTGTTTGTAAACTCGAACTTACACCCATCTTTACCAACGACTCATGCTCATCTCTCCATCGATACATTGCAGCGTCTACCGCACCTTGCTCGAGTTCTGTTTGAATTTGGCGTTGCTCTTCGAGAGTCTTATCACCCATTGAAAGACCTCCAGAGGGGATGTTTGAAAAGAGCGAGAGTGCCTTTTTGAGAGATTTCAACCCGAGACCCTTTTGTTTGACTGGCTTGACTTCGGCATTGGCGGCTTTTTTCTCCACTATGGCTCTCTTGTTGCCCAATTCCGCTGACGCCTCATAATGCTCCATTGGAGATTCAGGTTGTTCAATATCCATGTCGATGAGGGGGTCTGCTAAGTTGTATCGAGGACATATTTGGTTTATCTGATTTAGTTCTGCGCCTGTCAAAAGATCCGTCGCGAAAACCTCCAGTACCTCATCACCAGGTACCATAGCCATATATCGTCGCACAAGTCGCCTTCTGTTTCCGCCTGTTTCCTCAGCTGGAGAATGAAGTGATGCTTTTAGCATGTACGCAATCGTCTCGGCAGTAAAAGGAACCTGCTTCAGACGAATCTCGAGTTCAAACCACTTGTGTATGGCCTGTCTTGCCGCTTCACTTGGAGGTGTCGAGATGTGCTCGACAGAGGCGCGCAGGTACTGATTATTTAGATCAATCGTCTCCTCATCTGTCATCTTTGTCTTCCATAATATCCGATGTAAAATCACCCCCGCGCGCTCTATCCTACCCACCGCAAGACATGCATGAAAGACAGCCAGTACCTCGGAGACATCACCCGAAATCCCATTTCCGACCGATTTTATCTTTTGTTCGGAAGTTACTAGCTTCTTGAATATCCGAGCATCGCCGTACAGGTCTGGGGCTGGAACAAGATGTGATTGTGGCAACCCACGATTCTTAGTGTAGGACGGCGAAGGTGGAGGAACACTAAACCCGCTCTCAAAAGGTATATCTTCGTATGCCAAAGCCGTGGCCATGGAGCGCCGAGTATTTGTATTCGAGATGTCGTTCGAATTTCGCCGCCGTCGTAGTTCCGGTCGCTGAGGGGCGGTATCCGTGGCCCATCGTCGTTGAGCTGTAGTACTGACACACTGTAGAGTAGTGCACGACTGGCAGAGTCGTGGGAGATCTGAACGCTGCGGTACTTTGCTAAGTCGGATTGCTGAATGGCGTGGAAGTGGAAGTGCTTTCCTTCGAGCGGCTCGAACAAGCATCTTTGTAAGTATTATAGTACAAGAAGGGCGAATCGTGAGTAAAAGGGGAAAAACAGAGACAGTGGCGTGGACAGTCCCCAATTACTATCGCATGGTACATACAAGGAAAGAATGTTGGCACAAAAAGGGCTTGGAGCTGTTGAATTTACCCACGTAAACCTAAGGGCTTCACCATCGAACGCTCAGAACGCTCAAGAGCTGTCAAAAAAAATATGGGTGGGTCCCAATGCCAAGTGATAGAGGTTGCTTCCTATTCGCCAAGATCCACCCTCGTATGTCACGTGGCACTTCTAACAACCTCCCAAGCCCACCTGGAAACATATATATATATTTGCAGGTTCACGGGGAGGCGGGGATATTCTGATGCCTGGCGAGCCTGCGGGTGACTTGGATAGAAGTATAATTTTGAACTTTCAATATCCGTATTATATACAATACTACTGGCATGAAGTGCCTGATCATCGGCTAATCAAGCTTCTGGTAGGTTGCGGACCGGGTTGCGGTTGCTTCAAAACTCTTTCCAACATCTCGCATTTTCCCAAGCAAAGCCAACCTTCAAACACATAATCTCATCAAAATGATTTCCAACAATCTGCATGCTTGCTGGAACACGCACAGAAACATCTGCCGCAGCAGGTACAAATCCAATCGGAATCGCAAGTGCCGGGTGTCCACTGAACTCATGTTAGCATAGCTAAGTAACTCCTTCTCCCCTGCCTTGGGTACATCCTCAAGGACCTTTGATACGAAGTAATAAGCCAAACCGCGAAAGAGAGCTTGAGAACACTCACGTAGCGTTGAATGGACAAGTATTATCAAGCTTTCCGATAGTCTTACTCATTTTCGTAACCGCAGAATCACTTTCCAAAGGCAGCGGATCGGCAGCTGTAATGGTCGTTGGCATAACAAGAACATCGTACTTCGCTAACGCTTCATTGTAAGTCTCGGTCAACTTCCGACCAAGATTTATGGCTTTCGCGTATACAAAGGGGAATTTTTCCCAGCAGAAATCACCTGCCATATCGGTTAGGTTTGTGATTCTGCACCTGAGAAAATAGACGAATACCTGAAAACACACCGTTCTTATTTATTGGACTCATCTAAGGAGGAATCAGTGCGAGAAAACATTATGGCGAAAAGTGTTGCTTACTTTATCCATTGCTCCCGCTGTAAGGGGAAGCATTCTTTCGTAGAGGTCTGTCAACATGACCTGTCTTCGTCCAGTAGTACGGCCAGCTCGCCCCTATGAACCAGTTAATTTAGTATTAAGCGCACTTCTCATCCGAAGAAAACCCACAATCGCACGCCCCTGTTTACTGGCTGCTCCAAATATCGCAGGAGCTATCTCGTGCATCGGAATACTAATTTCTTCCACGATAGCTCCAAGTTCTCGGAAAATCTCCACTGCAGCGTGGAATTTTGCTGCAACATTCGGATCGATTATCTTTGATGAATGCCCTTCCTTGAGGACTCCAATACGGAATCCTTTGACTCCAGCTTCTTTGGTATCCTTCAGAATCCGAGAGTAATTTGGGACGTCCTTTCGAAATGGGGTACCAGCTCTTTGTCGATCATCAAGGCCATCAACTCCGGCAATAGCTTCCAGTAACAACGCGTTATCAAGACAATTTCTGGTCATAGGACCAACGTAGTCAATGCTTGCCTCGTTACTTATACAGCCAGTATATTAAACCGTCTGTCGCCTTGAAGCCGACCAGCCCACACAGACTTGCAGGAATCCGGATCGACCCACCTTGATCAGCTCCAATCCCCATATCAACTTCCTCTTTCGCAACCAAATTTGCAGTCCCAGAACTTGAGCCACCAGCACTATATCCTTTCGCATAAGGATTGTTGACAGGGCCTGTTCTTGCTGTAAATGATGCTGTCTTGTGCTCAAATTTTCGCAAACTGCTTTTCCTTTGATGATACCACCCGCGTCCAGAATTCTTGAGACAACAGTGGCATCCATTTTTTGTATCCAGCCAAAGTCATGTGCTTGTCCGATTAAGCAGGGAACTCCACTGACAGTTATGTTGTCCTTGATACATAAAGTTCTTCCTTGAAGTAAATCGGACGAGGGTGCTTTGTGGGCGAGCTGAAAACGGTAGGCCCAGGCGTTATCTGGATTATCGGCCTTTTCAGGGAAATAGCTTGAATAGATCAATTAAGATTGAAAGGGGTTGGAATAAGCATCACTCACATATTCTCCCTTGGAGCAAGACTAAGATCTGGTTCCGGTTGATAGTCGTCCATTTCAGCAACGAACTGCATCGCATTACAAGTCGCTCCTAGGAGAGTTGTAAACTCTGCCTTTTCGTTTCCTTTAAACTCATATCCATACTTTGCCGCTATCTTGGAAACATCATCTTCGGTGACATCCACGTTACTTGAAAGTCATTAGTGTTGAGTATAATTTTGAATGGGTATACAGTACTAACGCTGCAGGAGTGACAGAAAGAAGAGACATTTTGCCAACAAGACTAGGGGTTTAAGTAATTACTTATAGAGAGAAAACAAGATAAGAGCTCAACAATAAATAGCATTGGACCTTGGGCACAACACTCTTAATAGAGACAGTTCATCCCATTCTTGCATCTGGCAAATATTGTTATCATCGGAGATCCGCGGAAGTCAACTACTTTTCTATTCCTTGACCAAAAGAATTTCTGAGCTTCCAAAAGATACTGGTAGAAGAAGTGATATATGATACAATCTTTTGTCAAACTAGGCGACTGGGACCATCATTACCAACTGCTTGGTCTTGGCTATTCACACAAAGATCGAATGATTTCGAGCGATCTCATCTAAGATAAATTGAGCTAGAAAGTCTTTGAAAAGTAATGGAAATTTAAAACTCAGAATGTCATGTTGTAGTGTGAAATCAACAATTCATGGTCGATGATTATTGAAAAGGGGCCTCGGCTAACAGCACGCAACCGATCTTCATACCTAGACATAACAACAACCGCAGTTATGCAGTTCTATCAATAGTAATCGTATTTGATTTCCATGTTGGTTTGTAGGATTTCCAAAAAGATAATTGTACTTTTCATGCTGCATTCTCACGACCTCAATTGATATCACAGAATCCCTTTTGGTCTATGATGGGGGTGGTCCATGCGCTAAAATCGGATCGGCATGGTTTCGGTACATAGCCGCGGGTATCTCGGCCGCCGTAAAGTGGGAGAGCTTCATCAAGTTCACGAAGAAATATTGAAGACGACGAAAAAAATGGTCACCAATCGACTTTTGCGCGCTACAGGCTGTGCGAGCTGTCGATTATCGTTACTGAAGAGTTTCACATCTATTGGAGGGAGTAATATCCGATTAACACAAACCGTTCAGCGGCCACGAAATTATTCGCGACTTTCTGGTCATCAAGCTCGATTGTTCTCCAAGCAGGCCGCCCGCCGACAAGACGACAAGGAAGCTAGCGATCAAGATGGAAGAGTCGCGGAATTCCTTAATCAAGACGACCTCGAACAACAGGAATTAGAAAGATCTGAGAAGCAAGCACTCGAGGAACAAGATGGTGTTGAGAACGATGTGCTGGAGGACGAATTGGAGGAGTCAACGGTGTCAATAGAGTCCGCTGATAGACCACATGAGATATCAGCAGTGCCGTGGTATCTCCAAGTCAAATCACCAGAAAAAGCCATAAAACCGCTATCAGAAAGGCAGCGCATACCAGATCTACCAATAAATCCTCCTCCCATTCTCGACCCTCTTCTTAAAACAGTGTCCCTCCACTTAGGCATTGACGACCTCACCCTGATTGATTTGCGAAAACTCGATCCACCGCCGGCACTGGGAGCGAATTTGATCATGATCATTGGCACGGCGCGGAGTGAGAAGCATTTACATGTGTCCGCGGACAGGTTGTGCCGATGGCTACGAAGCAATTATAAACTCCGACCTAACGCGGATGGGCTGCTGGGAAGAAATGAGCTGAAGCTGAAGTTAAAACGAAAGGCAAAGAGGGCGAAGCTTATGGGACGTGTTCAGGACGAAAACGCCGATGATGGAATTCGAACTGGATGGGTTTGCGTGGACGTGGGTGTTGTCGAAGGGGCGGAGGGTTCGGAACCTGTCGTAGAGAATAAGAATTTTGTTGGATTTGGCAGAAAAACGGACGGCGTGAGATTGGTTCTACAAATGCTCACGGAACAGAAGAGGGAAGAGATGGAACTGGAGCGGCTTTGGCAAGGCATTCTCCACAGGGCAACACAACCCGTTATTGAGGATGGAGGGGAAGAGGTCATTACGGAGGGTGCAGGGGAAGGCTCAATCATTTCTTCTTCTGCCATAACAAATTCGACAGCCAGATCGAGCTCAGGTACCACATCACCAGGGCCAACCAAACGGGAGTATCATACGAGTGCACGAAGACTCCAGACTGCACATGTAAAAAACAATACCAGCACTTCAAATCTCGAAGGTTCAATAGGAAATGATACGATCAGCGACCCAAACACCCTCTACAACTCAATTTCGGATTCAATGGCCGCGGGCCAGTATGAAAAGGCTAGGACAACGTTATTAGATGCTAGTGATCACATAAAAGCGCTTACAGGTAAAGATTGGAGGGCTAATTTCCAGGAATTGTTATTCTCCAACGCTCAGAGCCTTTCGGTGGAAGGAGCTCGCGAGTGTTTAGGCAGTGGGTCCGCTGACTACTCGTCAACTCCCTTTCTCACTTCTTTCTATGGATCTCTGACTACGCTTCCGACCGCAGCTGAAGTAGACGCAAGAGTCTGGTTATATTCCTGGGCCCAATCGGTTGGTCATCCAGGATACAAAGCCTCTGGTCTCAAAGATCTGTTTTCTGAGTTACAAACATCCGGAGCAGAAATATCTTTACTAGCATACAAGCAAATCCTACGTGGACTTTTAACTCCAGAGCCTAGGAAGGATGGCACACTGGCAACCTCACAGTCTGCGCTATTAGGTTGTACGGAGGTGCTCCAAAGTATGCACAACCGAGGTTTTCAGATCCTGGATGAAGATCTACTTGTCAAGCTCCAAGAAGCCGCCACAATTCCTATGCCCGAAGAAATCTCGAATCTAGAATTGCAGGAATCTACAGATACTTACCACCTCCCCAGCACTCCCGCGACTCCCATTCAGCGTCGTCTCCATCTCCTAATGATGTCTCTAGACCTCCCTTGTTTCCGAGACGAAACGAGGCTCCGTCTCCTCAATCTCTACAGAGCACAAAAGAACTGGCTCGAATTCTGGGACACTTGGAGAATGGCACCCAAACGAGGAGTTGCTCAATCACCTCTCCTCTACGCATTCATGTTTGGAAGCGTGGCACAGACCAGACATCAGAATGGATGTATGAACGTCCTTCGTACTTGGACGCCAGAAATGGATCTCGAGGATCCGCCTGTTTTGAAGGAGGGCCAGGTTGCGAAGGCGATGAGGGCTTGTATTAAGATTGTCGATCCATTTGTCGAGGAAGCTCATAATGCAGAGTCCGAGGCGAAAAACGAGTGGGTTAGTTTGTGGAGAAAGTGCCAGCCTGAGAAGGGCGAGCAGGCGTTGTTATCTGGCTAGATTTTGGGCACTTGTATATATAGTGTTTGTTTGGGCGAGATACAGTGAACCATGTATAGTACTGCTAGATGACAGTTGGCGGGGAAAAGCAACTCCTGTAAGATACCACTCAACAACTCAAATGTTGGAATTGTTCTTCATGAATGTCCAGGTTTTGAGAATATGTCCTTGGTTCGTCAATCTGAACTACCGCAACCATGATGTGACGCGCTCAAAATCTATAGTACAGTAATGGTTTAACGAACTGTAGCCTAGATCGCTCGATTGAAGGAGAGGAAGGGCCTACGGCTAAGTTCAAGAAACTAGTCAACGCCTCTTCGCGATTATGTGTATATATTCTTAACTACTACTCGATGTAAAGTACAAATTCCGCGCCCCTACGTAAGATCTTACATATCTAAAATAGGCACTGAAAGGATCTCGATACTGGAGTATGCTCCACCCTGCTCTTACCGCAGGAACCAAGTGTCGGATGTTTTTAAGATCATTTATTATGAGTGAGGAATGTGTTTTTAGTTGTCCCTACTATAGATGGGATGGTGTTGTCCTAGAGTAGATGATTTTGCACGACTTTCTGTGATTTGGAACTCGGAATACGTGCTAAGTGGTGACTTGATATCTTGTTGCTGATGATATCTTTGCTTGGCAAGGATTAAGGAGATTTAAGGTGTGACGTTCCGGTTGGATTGCCACGGAATTATCCCATTTTTGGTGGATGTTGTGGTATCTGAGGGTGTTATTTGTAAACTGTTTTTTTACTTTTCTTCCGACGCTAGTAGGCGTGATACTAATTCACTCGATTTGTTATGCGCTGTATACTATTTACTATTGTATAGCAATAAGTTGGATATTAATTGTCGCAATAACAAAGCTAGTAGACTGTAAATGACGTATATATCTAGATTCTGATCTTTTTTCGAAGGTTAATAATAGGATATTACAGACTATGTTCTTATACAACTAAGCCTAGTCATTAGTATAGATATGAAAGTACTCTCTTGGCTTAATAGCTAGTTCTCTATACCTATCCGGTTTACCTACTTGCAACTATATACTTGCATTTTAATTTAATACTTTCCTAGGAGGAATCTACTTTGTATGAAGCGCTTCTAATAGCCGAAGTAATTATATGATAATACTTATCTAGGATAAGGATTTGTAAAAGAGATTAGAAAAGTACTAGTCATATTAAGTAAAAAGCTATAGAGAATTTCGGTTACCAAATTTCTTTCTTCATATAGTTGTACGTATTATATGAGTAAATCAAGTCTAATACAAGGAGAAAAGCAACAATTTAAAATTAAAGTTGTCGTAACTTGATTCCCAAGCTTATGTTTGATCTAGAGTCTTAGGCCAATATTACATAACAATTGATCTTAAGACATATTGTTTCGGACTCGTGACTCATTCCTCCGAGTGGGTCACTGCTCATCGTATGTATATCGCTTTTCTGTTGTGGAGCGGACTTGACTTCCAACAACAACCAACAACACAACCAACATTGATAACACAACTTGAGTCTGAAATTACACTGCGACATGTCCTCACAAACTACAAACCTCAGACAAGGCGATAATCAATATCATGCCAAATGGAACAAAAATTACTGCTGCCGTTTCGCACGGTATATCTGCTTGGGCGAGAATTACACGTATCTCAGTAATTTTGAAGGATGGCACCCCCAAAACGTACTTTCTCAAGGTAAGCTTGCAAGCGCATATTTTCTTGCGTAATGGGCTAATATCTATAGTGCGCGACACGCGATACTTCACGGGCATTGATTGAAGGAGAATACCATTCCGTAGTAGCAATTGATTCACTGGTTCCAGGATTAGTTCCGAAAGCTATTGGTTGGGGTAGTTATGGAACTAGCGGAAGAACGACTTTTTTTTACCTTGGGGACTTCGTGGTTATGGATCTTGATTCGCCACCAGACCCGACTCGCTTCGCTTCCTTAATAGCCGAACTTCGTAAGTACTCATGTGATCCCTGAGCTACGAAGTTTATTGACTCAAAATATAGACCGAAAAGGGGCTTCGCTAAATGGGCTCTTTGGGTTTCCCGTAGCAACAGTCTGTGGAAAAATGCAACGTCCGGTTTCTTGGGAACAGAGTTGGGCAAAGTCATTTACCAATCACCTACAAGCCATTATCGACTATGATAACAAGGCCAATAAGCCTTGGCATGAATATGATGCTGCATGTAAACAACTCATCGAAGTCGTGATACCCCGACTGCTAGGAGTTCTTCAGACTGAAGGCCGTCAGATTACCCCAACATTAATTCATGGAGATTTGTGGGAGAACAATATTGGAATTGACAAGGAGACTGGCAACATCATTCTTTTCGACCCAGGCTCAATTTATGCACATAATGAAATGGAGTTTGGAACTTGGAGGTGTTCATGGGCAACTCATTTCAAATCACCAGAGTATCAACAGCTGTACAAACAACACATTCCGCCTTCGGAACCAGTTGAAGAGTGGGACGATCGAAATCGACTTTACAGTATACACCCGAACCTCAATGGTTCTGCGGGTCATCCAGGGAGCAACTCTCGACAGATATAGGTGCTTCTTCTGATTTTATAGCACATGAGGCTAACTTTTCTTGCAGTGCTTTCAATGATATGCTGTTTCTGTGTGAGAAATATGGCCCTGTGGAGAGTCTCGAAAAGTACGATCCGGAGAAAGATATCTCGGTCACAGGCGCTTATGTTCATTTTGATATTCTTGGGGGAAATGTTTAAAGAGTTAACAAATGTACTTAGTTTGTAACGTGCGTACTTGGCCTCGATAATCCTCAAGAAAATAACAGATGAACACCGCTAGATAAGAACCGATCGAGCAGAAATGAAATCTCTTGGGAGAAGCTAGAACAATAAAGTCTAGAGTTTTCCAAGGAACGAGTTGAATCTTACAAATGATTCTAGGAGACTCGATTAAAATAACTGCGATAGTCTTTGTCTCCTCTGGCATAACGACGAGGGAAAAACGATCATGGATTCTTAGCACTGGCATTGTGTCTGATCAGACATGTAGGTAATCGCTATCAACCGTGGCGATATCAAGGTCACATCTCGACACTCCAAAATGCTTTATAGGCATTTTTGAGATTTTTAAATTCTGCAGCTTTGCCTTGACACCCTTGGTCGTAAACTCCACGAAGAGGTATTGGGGAAGGCTGGGAAGCGAAGTTGGGGATGGTGATTATCGTACCCCAGGATAAGCAAGGATTATGATCCTGATCTGGTTGACAGTGCAGTACCAACCGCATGGCCCCCAATATGCATCGCATTTAGCGCGCGGCTTGATTAGAATCTTTGACCGAAAAAATTCACAGTTCTGATGGGAATAGGGTTCGAAAGCCTCGTACATCCTGGCCAGGTTCCTTCAACAGAAAGAAATATAAAGGTTTCGGAATTCTGCGGTTGAGGCATCATCAAACTACACCTAAGGCACTGGGGTGACATCTTCTGCAGTTCCAAAGTTCAAGGCTGTGAAGTAGCAACCCCCATACTGATAAAGGCAGTTGAGCTGTCTTATCCACCAAAGGGTAACCCCTCATAAATCATGGTTGGTTGCAATTAAACATTTCGGGCTCGATGAATACTAAGAACAATACTTGTTAGTTTCGAAAGTCTTTTGGCTTTAGGAAGAAAAGTAGTGAGAAGCAGCCTCTACGAAAATTGTCACCACTTTCTGTAAGTTCTGAGTCTAGCAGTATTGCTTCAAATCTGAACAATGGCGACGAATCTGCCTTATATTTCCACCCTCATCTAGAAGAAATAGTAGACACCGGTTTCCAGACATCTGCAACTCCCAAGACGTCTGAATTCGCTTCTGACCCTCTGGGACTCAATGTCGTTTACACACCCGAAAGTGGGCATAAGGTTGACATTGTGTTCGTGCATGGCCTCGGGGGAACTAGCAGACTATCTTGGTCAAAGCATAAGAATCTGGAGTTGCTTTGGCCTTTGACGTTTCTCCCTCTGGAACCAGATATCTGTCTTGCCAGGATCCTTACCTTTGGATACAACGCGACTATTACCAAGGCAGGCAATGTCAGCACATCAGTGCTGGACTTTGCGAAAAGTCTGCTTTTCAGCCTCAAGTATGGGACAAATGAGCAAAAAGGGGAACTGAATATGGGTAAAGTAGGAAACCTGGGACGATTTCAAAACGCTTTTGTGGGCTGGAAAAAGACTAAAAGTTCATAGGTTCCTCTAATATTTGTGGTTCATAGTATGGGAGGTCTTATCGTGAAAGAGGTATAAATGCCAGTTTCGTTTCCAAGATCTTATCTAAGTACTTTTTATAGGCATACATGCAAGGCCAGAATGACCCTGAACACGAAGATATAATCAAATCCATTTCAGTAATTACTTTTCTTTCAACACCCCACCGCGGAACGAATCTAGCTGAGATTTTGAATCTCGTATTGCAATCAACATTCATAAGCAATTCCAAACAGTATATTGCAGAATTGGCGAAAAACTCTTTCACTTTACAAAGACTTAATGAGCAATTTCGACATATTGCCCCGAAGCTTGACATTATTTCTTTTTATGAGCCTCAGCATACATCGATCGGTCTCAGAAATTTCCGTATTGTGAGTTAAAGACCGGCTTTTATAGTTTATTATGGCTGATGTTGAAAGATGATCCTGGAAAGAGATTCTTCTGTGCTTGGCTACCCAAGGGAAATCTCAGTACCATTGGATGCAGATCACCATGGAGTTTGTAAATACGACAGTCCTAGCGATCCCAACTATATCATGGTGAGGAACGTTCTCAAGTCACTCGTCAGGAAAATTATCGCAGCAAGTAGGTCCGATGTGCCAGTTTCAAGTCCAAAGGATTCGCAAGACCTGAAATCTTCGCTAGCGATAACAGAGCTGCCCGATACTGACTATGTCTTTTTCCGAGACCAATGGACATCTGGAACCATCAATTGGATTCTGGAGGACCCAGCCTATTTGGACTGGATACTCCCAGGCGACAAACTCCCTCGAATACTTTGGCTCGAGGGGGCTGCTGCAGTCGGCAAATCTGTTTTATCTTCCTTCATTATCAACAACATCATTGAACAAGGTGCCTGCTGTCAATACTTCTTCATACGATTTGGTGATCAAAGCAAACGGACGTTAAGCAAACTGCTACGTTCCATCGCCTTTCAAATGGCGCAAAGCATACCGGAATTTCAACGAAAAGTCCTTCACCTCGTAGATGAAACCACCAAATTTAGAACCGCCGACCCGAGGGCGATTTGGGAACGGATTTTCAAGTCCATACTTTTCAAAATGGAGATTAATTACCCAATATATTGGGTTATCGATGGTATCGAGGAGGCAGATGATCCTCGAACAGTGATCAAAATCTTTTCTGAGGTTTCAACATCATTACCAATTCGAATTTTGCTTGTTGGCCGTAAAACCTCGGAGATAACGGCGGCATTGCAAAAGATACCTAGGGCACTTGGTTTTAAAACAATACGAGTTGGAGGAATATTGGATGATTTCGTGTGTTATATTCGCCAGGAGCTCGATATGTCTGGCATTCCTCAGTTCAGAGAGGAACTTGTTAAAATGATCATTCAAGGAGCTCAGAATAACTTTCTTGTAAGCTTCCCCCCGCCTTTTAGTACTGTTGAAGTTGACTATACTCACTAATCATTAAGTGGGTGCGTCTAGCAGTAGAGAAGTTGAACCTATGCCATACGACGGCCGATGTGGAGCGGACACTCAAGGATTTACCACATGGAATGGAAGCACTATATGATCGCATGGCATCTGGAATCTCTGAAAACATCTCTTTTACAGAAAAAGCCTTAGCAAAAACTATCTTGGAATGCGTTTCGTCTTCTTTGCGTGTTCTGACAGTCGCAGAACTTTCACAGGCCGTAGACAAAGACACCCTTGAAATTCTGGATTTTCAACGCTCGATTGCAACTCTGTGCGGTGGAGTTGTTGTGATCGACAACAATGGAAATGTTGCCATGATACATCGAACTGCCCGCGAATATCTCCTTGGGGGAGACCGGCCATTCAATATCAGTCGTGAAGCTGCCAATGAGCGGCTGTTTCTAAGTTGTATGCCTCATGGCCGTTGGCCTCCGAACAAAAGTCAATCGTAATGAGCGGCCTGTTTTTCTAGAATACTCCTCTTGTTCTTGGTCGTCACATCTCTCGGCAATGACGATTGACTCTTCAGAAGCTCTCACCGTTCTATGCAAATTTCTGAAAGGCTACTGGATTCTAACCTGGATACAAATTCTTTGCCGCTGGTAACCAACTGCAAGTACTTGTTCAAGCGTCGAAACATCTGTCAAAGTTTTCTGCTAAACGGAAAGACTATGACGCGATGCTCAATCCAAACGACCGTCAGATATTGCAGCGACTTTGTGACGGTTGGACTACCGACCTAGCCAAGATCGTTGGGAAGTTTGGGGCAATTTTTACAGAAAAATCCTGATGCCATTTATAAACTAATACCTCCATTCTGTCCGCAAAAGTCTTTGACGTACCAGTTGTTTGGAAAAAAGGAATCGAATTTTCTCTCGGTAACAGGCCTTTCAAGCGAGGACTGGGATGACTCGTTAGCGCGTCTATCAGTAGGAAGTCATTATTCCTCCTCCATAACTGTTTCTGGAGGGCAAGTTGCTGTTTTGAGTGGTTCTGGCACGGTCACAAATTTCAGTTCTTCGACCTCCACACAGGCCGGCTCGATAGATCATGGTGAGCGCGTGTACCGGATGGGCATGAATGACAGTGCAACACTGGTTGCTACTTATGGCTACCGTACAACGAAAGTATGGGAACTTACCACTGGAAGGTGCCAGCTTGTAGTAAGTAATATTGAAACAAAGCCTCGACCGCTTGCCATAAAATTTTCGAGAGATGACAACACTCTGCTGGTTGGCATGGATGATCGTGTGATACGATCGCTCGATCTGATACAAAACAGTGAGAGCAAGCCAACATGGCAAGTTGTTGCAGAACTCGAAGAGCCAGAGATAGAAGGGCATTTCCTCAACTCTGCAAGCTATATGGCTTTGAGTGATGATGGGTCTCTGGCTGCTGTTGCTTATCGAGGTCAGCCTATGTCAGCTTGGGAGACAGATGGACCAGTTCATGTTGGTCACTGCTGGCGAGCCAGACAAGAAGTGGCAAGAGGAGAAGTGGCGGAGGCTTTCTGGCATCCTTAATCCTCCAGCTCTGTGGAAATCATTGGGCTTTATACCGAAGGGGTGATTTTTAAATGGCGCCCTTACGAAGACGAGACTTCGGAAATTTTCACTGGAGCATCAAAACTGGCTATCAGTAGTGATGGAAACGTTTTTGTCACTGGTGATGTCTATGGAACAGTGAAGGTTTACAGCTCGCTTGATTTTCGCTTGATTTACCACCTTGGATCTCAAGACACCGTACTAGGCCTCGCATTTGGCCCTGATGTATCTCGATTCTATGATATTGGAGGCTATTACGCAAATGTCTGGGAGCCAAATGCTTTAATGAAACTTGCCGAACAGACCGAGTGGCGAGGTGACAGCGCAAGCGAAACAGAAAGTCTTGCTCGAAAATCAGCAGTCTCTACCAGCTTGTTCAAAAGAATCAACTCTCTGACAACACTTATCGCCTCTCCAGCTAGCGGACTCTATTGCTTTGGTACAGAAAAAGGAACTGTTCATCTGTATGATGTTCGAAAAGGAAAGCTTGCCGATGTTCACGCATCCAAAAGCTTCATGAGTATAGAGCAAATGTCTTGGAGTAGCAACGGGAAAGCATTCTGCTTCTGATTTGAGTAAGAGGGTTTTCATTATGTCAGTGACTCAGGACTTGAATCCGATTGCCCAGAAAGTTCTCGAAATTCCTATGAAATTCACCAACAGAGGGCCAATTCTTCAACTGGTGTTTCATTCCGACTCGAGTCAACTTTTAGTTTACATGACTGGAACTATTTGTATCATCTCGCTATTGTCCTTATCGGTGACCCATTCTTGTGAATGGCCAAATCCGGAGTGCAAATGGGTCACTCACCCTCAAGATACCAACCTCGTACTTGGCGTGGGACCAGATGCTTTGTACATGTCGGATTGGACTCTGACTAGACACAAAAAATACGCATTCGAATATCCGATCATTGAAGAGACCCAAAGATTTGGTGAATTGCCTCCATTTAACTCATGATAAGAAACACGTTTTAGCTCAAGTATCGCTTCTCAGTCGAACCTTGAACGAAAATATGTACATGTTCTTTGAGATATCATCGATACCCACAGCGTTCGAGGACCCAAGGAATAAAATATCTGTGTCATTTCTTCCAAAACGTATTTCGTCTCAGATTTCTGTCACACTTTCATTCACATCTAGCGATCGCCTAGTATTCCTATCAGAGGATTCTTCAACTTGTTCCTTGAAGCTCCCAGGACAATTCCTGACGAAACCTAATGTCGAACCGAAAAATAAGGTAGTTGAGGAAGAAATTAAAACTTTGTTCTCTCTTCCTGGGGATTGGATTAGTAGAGTTAATTTGGAGCTGTGTTGCATTTTGTATATGGAAAGATCATTATTGTGCCCACGGAATGGTGAGGTGGCTATTGTTAGATGCGCTGCTTTACGCTGATAGTTTATGTCTGGGTACTTATTGTTTCCATTACTATTGATTTTCGCGCTCAAGCGAATCTCTATGGTCATTGAATAAATCATGCTTGAGACAAGTGACCTTTGAACATGGAGGCTCCGAAAATGAAAAACACAATGATACAAAACTAAGCACTAACCGGTGGCCCATCTATCTCGTATATATTCATCCCGAATATTCATGTCACGAGAGACAGCGGAATATAACTGCAAGCTGAGTGCGTTTTCGTCCAGCCTCCGCCAGGCAGCCTATTGAATACTGATCTAAGAATCAGGGACACTGATTGAACTCATGAGTAGTGCGAACGTACGCATGAGAAACCTCTCCGTGGCTTCAGCTTCAGTAAGAAGCTCATCGAGAATGCGAGGAGGAAATGACGGCTTCTCTTACTTGGGTTTGAAAATAGTTTCATCCATGCATTTTTGTGTCCTGAAGATTTGCGAACGGATGTCGTTCAGAATATGCTGGCAGTCATGAACCTTTTCGTTGATTTATATTCTAGGGCGTCGTATGTCGTCAAATGCAATTCGCTTGATCTTTCGATCTGCAAGCGATCTAATATCTCCGAGCTGGAATCACCCTTTTCTTTCCGCTATACCGGACTGAATTTTTCGTGGCATTAAGGGACTCGATTGCATTGTCAAGTCCTTGAGACGTCATAAAATTCCGGAAAATGCCCAGGAAGTCGTCGTTTGATACCTGTGATTGATCTATATATGTAGTCATGTTGAAGTATAATTTTATGTGCTATATAAATGAGCATTAGGGGATGTACATACTAACATGTCAGGAAAAGACCTTTGAGGCCAACTTGGCCAAGTAATATTATACTTGGTCGGCTTATTGAGGATTAATAACCCTACCAGGACACCTCGTTATTTGTGTCGATAGTATTCACTTAGAAGGACATCGCCTTTTCAGATCCGAGGAGTACAAGTTTTAATCATTTCTAAGAATGCTGGCACATAACAGGAACCATAAGCCTTTTAATAAGTTTCGAAAATATCATTCACTACCTGATGCTCCGAATTTTTCCAGATTCATCCATCAGATAAGATAAGGAGGCAGATCAGGTGACGATATACACCCCGCATATAGCCGGACTTAACCCGAATTAGTGAATGTGATATTTTCAACACCATCTTAAAATTCCCCCTCTATCCAGAAACCCAGAGCCATTTTCCGAAAACCCCACCTCTCCACAAACACAAATTACCGACAGAGAAGAGAGACACTACCGCAGCAGACAAAATGGCACCATCAGCAACCGCCACCACTCCTCCTCCCCAAACCACCGACCCCATCATCCTCACCCTCCGCAAAACCCTCACCACCGAATCTGAACCCCTCGCAAAGCGCTTCCGCGCCCTCTTCTCCCTAAAGCACCTCGCATGTCAGGGCTCTTTGCCATCGATCGACGCGATCGCTGCTGGATTCTCGTCTCCTTCTGCGCTCCTGAAGCACGAACTGGCATACTGCCTTGGACAAACGAAGAACCTAGCTGCGGTATCACCCTTGCGAAAGGTGTTGGAGGACAAGGATGAGGATTCGATGTGTAGACATGAGGCTGCGGAGGCTTTGGGTGCTATTGGGCATGAGGGGAGTTTGGATGTTCTGAGATTACTTAGAGGTGATGTGAATGAGGTTGACGTTGTGAGAGAGACTTGTGAGATTGCTGTTGCGAGGATTGAGTGGGAGAATTCAGAGGGTAGGAAGGGAGAGAAGTTGCAGAAGAGGTGAATTTACTTTGGTATACAATGGGTAAGGCTTTGTTTGCTGACGGTTAATTCTATATTAGCGATTTCGCATCTATTGATCCTGCCCCACCAGCACCATTTGCAGAGGAAGCACCCGAAACTGTCGAGACCCTTGAGAAGAAATTGATGGATCCAAGCCTACATCTGTTCCTACGATACAGAGCCATGTTCAGTCTCAGAGATCTCGCATCACCCCCAGATCTTCCAACCGCTGTCCCTGCCGTCAAAGCTCTCGCAAAGGGATTTGCAGATCCATCTCCTCTATTCAGACACGAAATCGCATTCGTTTTTGGACAATTGTCGCATCCAGCGTCGATACCTGCGTTGAGCGCAGCACTTGACAACTTGGAGGAAGTGAGCATGGTCAGACACGAAGCCGCAGAGGCTCTTGGAAGCTTGGGCGAGGAGGAAGGTGTTGAAGATACGTTGAAGCGATTCTTGAACGATAAGGACGAGGTTGTTAGGGATAGTGTGATTGTTGCTTTGGATATGGCAGAATTTGAGAAGGGTGAAGAAGTCGAGTATGCGCTTATTCCGGAAGTAACTACTGCTTAGGTAGTGTTATGCCGAAGACATACATGCTAGGTACCAAAGTGCTTGGGCCGTAATAGCAAATGCGACTACACTATTATCCACATGCGAGGTCCCAGCGAATTAAATTCATCCATATTATTATGTTTTCATTTTTTTTACAGTCGCCGAGTTCCTCAATTGTTGGTATTCCACCTGTACTATATGTCAACATACATCGCATAATGATTTTCTAGGACAGAAAAAGCTTACTTGTGTCCGCAATCGCATGTGTAAAATATAGTGCTTCCTTCATCTGCACTTCGCAATTGTACAGCGGTAAATCTGACCTCGGTACGTCCACATTCCGAGCAAGTTTCCTGGGTCGTTGCTTTATTCTCCATATCGCTCCTCTCAACCTTCTGAATAACGGATCTTTGTTGTCGTAATAGCGAAGGGAAGGATGCTGGGTTCGTTTTGGTGATACTAGTTTTCGATGCAGTATCTGCAAATGGTCAGTTTCAGATTCCCAAACCGCGACAAAACTCCATACCTGGGTTTTCTGCGCCGCAGCAGTCGCATTTCAGAACATTATTTTTGTTTCCAGTTGAGGAATCCAGAAGATTGCCACAATCTGTGCAGAATACGAGTGATCCAACGGCGGACATTGTGAAGTCTGTTGACTATAGTCTTTAGTGGATTGGTGGAGTGATAAGGCTCTGATTGCGATAGAATTTCTAGAAAATTTTGGGGCGCATCGCATCGCAGGGATTATTACGGAATCGATTAAATGGTAGCCACCTTAGCATAAATAATGCATGTATAAGCCTACGCACTGGCCACTACAAGGCTCCCCACACCTTCTCTACTACTAAACTACCACTAGAACAACCTATAATTTTTTCACTAATAGAAGTAGAAATTTAAGATAGGAGGGCTCAGGTTGGGGTTAGGGCTAGAGTTAGGGTTAGGGCTAGAATTTGGGGTTAGTGGGATATGATTTTTGGTTGTTTTGTAGTATGAAGATCGCTAAGTGCCTACGTTTTGTACCAGATGTGCACAGGCCAAGTTGGCTACCATTTAATCGATTCCATTATTACAGGTGGGGTCCCAATACACTGACGCCCCGGCGTCAGTTTAGAGCTGACTAAGCGCGGGTTTTCACGCCCCCCCACCACCGAAATGCGCGCGCGTCGCATTTACATCTACCAGCACTGTACTTTGGACTGTAATCAATGCACGCCTGACATAGCTACATAGCGAAAATGGACGTTCAACTCTCGCTGTCGCCACTGCCCTTACATTCACCTGAGCAACCACTTGAGCCAGCGTCAGCAGATGCCACCCCTCATACGTCTATGCCACTGCCCCCAGAGGCTATATATAGCTCTAAAGAAGAGCTATATACTTCAATTCAAGCCTGGGCAGCACGTCATTGCTATGCTTTTCGTATTGGACGGTCAACAAAGATCCATGGCGGTCCTAGGGCGAAGATCACGTATAATTGCGACCGTTACGGCCTGGGCTTCTCTTTAAACTATCTCTTGTAAATTAGCGCACTTTCATTTACACCCCCTGTAGCCTAGGGCACCCCCCTAGCGTCATTTGCCCAACAATGGGACTTTTAGGACCTAGCCCACGCGAGTTAGATTCCGCCTGACGTTAAATAGTAATAAATAAATAAATAAATAAGCGCTACCTAGGGGGCAAAAAAACCAAGGGGGACCTCTATTCATCATGGCTACTTATTGAAGCAGCTGTAATCAACCAAATTACAGCTGTATCAACTCGTATAAGTATGTTACAGGACCGCGCACCACTTGATATAGACAAGAAGCTATATCAAGGCTGTTTTGGGGTAGTCACTTGGTATGCACTACGACTTGTACAACGACATCAAGAGACTGTTTCTCGGCCACTACTGCCCTGTACTGGTGCTTTTACCCGGGCAATGGGCTTGCCTTGTGCACATATATGCGAGATAAAGAAGGACACTACTGGGCTTACTCCATCAGACTTTCATGAGCACTGGTACTGGGACCGTAAAAGCACTATACAGCCACTACTTAACCCTCTATGGGCTGGTAGACAGCGTATAGCAAACGCAGAGGTTGCTCACACAGGCCGCATTCTCTCAAAAGGGGAGAAAAAAGCAAAGCAATTACCTAAATGCTCTGCATGCCACAGGCAAGGCCACACAATGAGTAGCCGTAGCTGCCCGTTGAAACTACAAGCATCAATTGCTGCTCAAAGCCAGATTCTCCTTGAATTAGATACAGTGCCCACATCACCCACATTATCCACATCACCTACAGCACCTTCAGCACCTCTAGCATCAGCACCTTTAGCATCTCTAGCACCAACTGTACCTAAGCAGCTTTCACCAGATCGGCCAGAAGTCTTAATTCTGGCCTACCTAGCTGAAAAAACAGCCTGGCTAGCCCAGCATCCTACTATACGGCCAGCAGAATATCGTAAGGCCCGAAAATGGAAAACACCAAGGCCGAAAATTTTAAAAGAGCAGGTATTTTATATGCCTAGGGAGCGGCGTGATCTTACAGGTACTATTATTACAAATAAAGCTGACTGGACAAATGAGGAGATTATAGCATGGCTAGATAACGAGGAAAAGAAGGAGCAAGATGAGTATAATATGCTTGAATCAGAGTTTATTAGGAATAGGAATAGGAATACTGAGAATAGGAGTAGGGATATATGGGCTAGACTTGAGGAGGAGTATGCGCGAGACTCGGAGCGATATATATTGTAGGATTCATTATATGTTATTTTGTTAAGCATGTATTAATTATAGGTATAAGTAGAGTGTTCGTGGATGGTGGGGGGGCGTGAAAACCCGCGCTTAGTCAGCTCTAAACTGACGCCGGGGCGTCAGTGTATTGGGACCCTTACAGGTGGAGATGGCTTACATAAGCACAAGGCTGTCGGGGTTTCTACGGAGTTTCTGCTGGTGGAGAGCTACCTACTCTGAGCTGGATGCAGATGAACATCACGAAATGCGATGACGAAAAGAGATTGATGCGTTCGGCCATATGCTGAGCGTGAGAATATACCGATACCTCACAATGCTGGCACATTCCGCGGAGAACTCATCATTTCGTTGATACTGTATTACAGGTTCAGAAATCTTGACCTCGATCGCCCAACTTCCAACAGCCTTCACAACTGCGCCCAACACAATGAATACCTACCCTCCAAATCACGGCAATCCTGCCAGCCACGGCAACAATGGGACCCCGAATGGTTCCTTCTCTGGCGCTGTCGAGATGAATGCAAGCGCGCAGAGATATTCCACAGGCAGGGTCAAGGTTCTGACGGTCGATGAAGCTCTCCCATTGACACCTATCACGTCGGTGGTTCCTTTCAACTCGGGTTCGCATTTCTCTTTGTACTGCTACCAGTGGTAAAGCGTTGCTGATTGCGTGTGTACAGATATCGTGCCCATGCCAAAGGTCGGACTGAGATCATCCGTGTCCATATACTCAACACCAGCTGAGCGCGCAAGAGGCAGAGATGTGCTAGAGAGTTTAAATCGCGAGGCTGCGGATCCACGAAATACATCGAGAAGACTACAACAGTCGTTAGAGGATTTGAAGGGACTGTTGAAGCCGGACGGACTGACCCAGTTGTATGCCAAAGCCCCGGGTACTTTCCAGGAAATATATAATCTAACCTGTCGTAGTAAATTCAAAACGGCGCCAAAACTCTCATCAGGTCCTGATATGAACGAGCAACCAAAAATGAAGCTGTCGCCCTTTGCCCAAAAAGTCTTGAACCAAACCTCGGTAAACTTCACTCACTATGTAGCCCAGCCACTTCCGGGTGCACAGCCAGTGAATGATAGAGTCTCCCACAAATCAGCGTCCAAGGCGAGAGGGCCTCACCTTCAACAGTCTCCCGCAAATGTCGAGGCCTTTGACCATAATGCTGGTATATCAGCTCAGCTTCCAAGGACGCAGAATAAATCCCAAGTTGGAACAACTCCTCAGCCTTCTTCGAATGCAACCAAGTCCGATTCGAGTTTTGCTGTAGTCATTCCTAGCTTACCGAATAAGTTTCGTCCTCAAGAATACACCACTTCAAAAGATTTACCCAAACCAGCCACCAAATATTCAAGTCTATCCCGCACCTCATCGCAGGCATCCGTCCCCGCGCCCCGCCCAAGCCCAACTCAAGGTGAGGCAAAACCAATCAATAAACCCCCTGCGCATACTCCTTCGCACACTACTGGTCAACCTGCGCCGCCAGCTCAGACCTCATCTTCAAAATTTGTTATTGAGATACCAGTTCAACCTCATCATCTTCAACACCAATCTCAATTAACACCACAAGCTCATCCAGAAACTCCGCGCCAGATTATCCATGAGCTAACTCCTACTCCATCTGGACAACCATTATCAAACCCCAGCCTAGCAGTAGTTATACCCGATCTTCCAGCTACCTTCAACCCTGGAGAGTACGACGTTGTTCCTGATTCCCCAGATACACCACAACACTTATCCCGCAAAAGAAAGCGATCTGAGATCGATGGCTATGAAGACGGATTGCCTATGAGCATTGGACAGCGAGAAAAGGCAGATACGGCCGCCAACAATTTGCGCCATTATCTACAAGAGATCTTTGAAGCTGAGGATCGTTTGCAATCTGACGGCGCCTCTTCCAATCACTTTTTCGTTGCAACCAGTGAAGGGTACAGTCTCACCTCTGCCGCTCAGTATAAAGTTGAGAGCCTTCTCCAGAAGATTATCTCTATGGGGCGTTTTGCGCAGGCACCGCTTGACGAGTTGCTCCGACTCCAAAAGCTCTCCGAATCCTCCTTGAAAGACGCCGAGTCACTTGATATCAAAGTGGATGATACCATGGGACAGGCCGAAGTTGATGCGTGGCTCGTTCAGATTGCCAACGCCGAATTAGGGCTAAAAGCAGCACGAACTTCTTTACGATTGATGTCGGGAGGCCGTGAAGACAAACAACTATACTCGGAAGATGTCATACAATCAGCACTGAACGCCTTCAAAAATGTCATGGATAATTGCATTGTTCCAATTGTCGAAATGCGTAGCTCTGGTGCCTCGGCTGCGACATTCAAGCTTTTATCAAATGAGAAGAAAGTTATCAACAACCTTTTGACACAATGCCGACGTGTATTGTCGCTTTTGGCAGCCTTGGTAGCTAACGTAGATCTATCAGAAACTGTCATCAATACTCTCGAATTCACTGCCTCTCAACTCATCTTTGTTGAAAACGCCCCTGTGGAGCGAGACTCGATCCTTGGCATCGCTAAATTCGACAGTCTGCGTGTGGTGGCCATGGATGCGCTGGCACAAATTTTTCTTTGCAATCCAGCACAACGCCAAGGCATCTTTGACGAAATTCTTACATCATTGGAAAAACTTCCTGTTACTAAGCAGAGTGCTCGCCAATTTAAATTAGCCGAGGGTGGAAACATTCAGCTTGTATCCGCGCTGATCATGCGCCTTGTCCAAACTAGTGCCAACAAGCCGGATGATGCAAAAGAGAAACGAAGACGCAAGGCGCTGGAGGCTTTGCATGGCGACGAGGATAACCACACAGCTGCTAGCCAGGGAATTTCAAACTTTACAGTCAAATCAGAATCACGAGCGGAGCAAGAGATTGTCACCGCTGTCAATGAGTTAGGCGAGCTAGTATCACCGCTTCTGGAAACTGCCAAGCAGAATGCCATCTATGTCGTGAACTTTATTGTAAACAGAGCGATGAAGTCTACCAAGTCTGGAGATGCGCCTTATCGCAATCTACTCGACTTATTTGTTGAAGATTTTATTACGTGTCTCAATTCGACCGACTGGCCTGCCGCAGAGCTCCTATTGCGCTTGTTCCTTTTCAAGATGGTCCAGCTGGCAGAAGGTGACAAGACGCCCGCACCAGCCAGAAATATGGCTCTTGATCTCCTTGGTCTAATGGGTGCTGCCATATCCGAGCTTAATTCTCATATCCGAAAGACCGCAAATGCTATAGACTCAGGAAGCGAACTGGCTGTTTACTTGAGTAGATTGGCACAAGCGTCGCTTGAGAAGAATGCAGGTCCTACAGACGTTGTATCTTGGGTATGTGGACCCTTCCGTGTATCACTTGAATACTTGGAGAACCGCTCTTCGTCGGAGCCACAGCTTCAGGGCGCTATTGGTTTCTTTATGGCTAGATGGGCTGAGAAAACGGTTTCTACATACGAAGAAATTCCCGAGGATGATAGGAGTTATCAGCAAGTTGAAAAAGATCATGGCAAGTTGGCCTACCGTCTGCGAAAAATGCTCACCGACAGCAGATGGTTGTCCACAGAGTACAGCTTCGAGACAGTCAGCGAGCCTCATGCAAAACTCGCATACTCTTTGACCTTGCTAAGCTCCCCTTTCTGCGAATCATTTAGTCGAGTCCTCACTATTCTTCTGAGCTCCATGACGAGCGAACAAGCAACAGTTCGGAGCAAGAGCTTGAAAAGCGTCAATCAAGTTTTAGATACGGACCCCACAATCCTTGACCGCGAACCAGCAGTAAAGCATTTGATCTTGAGATGTTCCAACGATCTCTCTGTCCAGGTTCGGGATTCCGCTCTTACTCTTGTTGGGAAATGTATTAGTCTACGACCTGCTCTCGAAGAAGAACTTATCCCGAGTATCTTGGCTCGCGTCAACGATAGTGGTGTCGGTGTCCGCAAGCGTGCGATGAAACTTTCCAAAGATATCTATCTTAGGAACCAGAAGCGTGACATCAGAAGTCACATTGCCGACTCACTACTCCATCGAGTTACTGATTTAGACGAAGGCGTTCAGGAACTGGCTCGCCAGACAATTGAAGAAGTATGGATGTCTCCATTCTATCAATCTACTCAATCCGACGATTCTTCGGCCAAATTTAAGCTTGCCATGGCTGACCACGTTGCTCTCATGGTTCGAACGGTCCAAAGGGGGAGCGGAGTGGCAACAGTGCTTGATAAAGTATTGCAAAACATGCTGTCAAGCGACTCAAAATCATCCGCTGCAAACTTTAGAGTCTGCAAAGCTCTTGTAGCTACCATGTTCGAAACTATCATTGATAACTCCGCGGATGGCAGCGATGCTCCCTCTGCACGCGATGCGCTACATGTCCTCATGATTTTTGCAAAATCAAATGCGAAATTGTTCACCCCTGAGCAGATTCAATTATTGCAACCTTACGTTGCCAACGTTGGAGCTGGCGATGAAATGGCCATATTCCGCTCAGTACTTGTGATCTTTCGTCATGTTCTACCGCATCTCTCCAAAGCTCACAACAAGTTTCTTTTCGCTGTTAGAAAAGAACTGCTTCCTACAATGGCACGTATACATAAAGCCATCTTGGACGACCTAGTTGCATGTTTGTGGATTATCAGCAATGTACTTGAAGACATCCAGAACCTGACATCAGCGGTTTTGTCTAGTCTGATGAACATCGATGCAATGAAAAAGATGGATCTCAACGACCCGAAAAACGAGAAGGCTATCACCAAGATAGGTAGATTGATTTTGATTGTTGGCACAATGGGCAAGCATTGCGATTTTGACCCTAAGCTCCAACTGTTTCAATCCAAATTCACGTCCTTGAAAGGAGATTCTGTTTCGAAACTAATGGTCGATGTTTTGGCACCATTCGCATCGCCTTCACAGCCACTCGAGGTACGAAAGGTGGCTCTAGGGGCTATTGGAATGGTCTGTCAATCGTGGCCTAAGAACTTTTCCTCTGCCAAAATTTATACTGCTTTCCAAGGCGTTTTCGGGGAGAAGAATACTATTCTCGAGGGCATCATCTTATCAGCCTTCAAGGACTTCCTCTTGCTTGAAGAGAAGCGATCAGAAGCAGGGAATGAAGGATTGCCCGGGACAGCAGGAGACCCAAAGGCAAAATTGGGCGTCATGGGTGGTAGCCAAGGCGACGGCATTGCAATTGGAATTGCCCAACGTTTCCTTCCCGACATCATTCGTATTTCCCTAGCCACCAAAGACGACCAGGCACTTCTCGCGACAGAGGTCGTAGCTAGTATTGCCCGTCAGGGTCTAGTCCACCCTAAAGAGTGTGGTTCGACACTCATCGCCTTGGAAACATCGCCGAACCTCAAGATTGCTGAGTTGGCCTTCAAAGAGCACCGTGCACTCCACGAAAAGCATGAGACTATTCTTGAAAAGGAGTATATGCGAGCGGTTCAACGTGCGTATGAATACCAGCGGGATGTTGTAGAGGACACACATGGTGTGACTCTTGACCCATTTGCATCAAAACTTCACTTGATGATTGATGTATTGAAGATCAGCAAGGTCAAGAATCGCAAGAAGTTTCTGGAAAACCTTTGTTCGCGTACGGACTTCGACCCGGCCAAGATCAAAATCGAAACTGCCCCTTATCATCTGGATTTCTCGCAATTCATTATCGAGAATTTGGCTTTCTTTGAGTATGCCTCTGTAGATGAGCTTCTAGCTACGATCAATTCCATGGAAAAGGTTGTAGCGGCTACCGGTACAGGAATTGCACACATGATCGAGACAGAAATCTTTCACGTGAGCTTAGATCAACCAACCCAAGTTGATGAGAATGGCCAGCAACAAGTAATGCAGCATAAAGTCGATACTGATCGCCTTCGACTTCTCACAGGCTCTTCGATGATGCTTGCAAGTCTATGGGGAGCACGAACCTTCTTGAGACGACTGTACGGCCTTACAACTCAGCGTCGCGAAAGTAAGGGAAAGCCCGCACCAAAGGATTTATCAAAAGCTCCCGTCAAGGTTCCATTTGTGACTGGAGACAAATTCTGGGACGAGACTACTATGATCATGAACTCAATGGAGTCCGAAAAAACCATGATGCAGCAGTGCCGAAACTTTGTGCAGCTTTTGAATGTGGATCAAGATTTCAAAGTAGCTGCTGAGGGCGACGAAGAGGCGGAGCGAGGTAGACCAAGCACACCAAATGAGGACGAAGATGAAGATGCCCCCAGCACGCCCAATGGAAGTGGAAGAGGTCGAAAGAGAAAGTCAACTGGTACTCCTGGCGGACGCAAGAAGCGTGCACGTTCGTCTTCCGTCCCCAAAGGCCGTAGTCGACCAAAGGGAAGCGGCAACAAACGAGCAAGCGCAGAGAAGAGTGATGACGAAATGGATTGGAGATAGAAGACTCGGAATCGTATTGATTCTACATATTACGAGTTACTTTGATGTTTTAATGGAGCGCGGGAAAGCTTGCAAGCACAGCATTGTATCATACCCCCATGGGTTTGCTATTTGGCATTTGGCGTTTAGCATTTGGCGTTTATTTTGTGCATACAGTATTTATCTTACACTACAGGATGGTGTGCAGTTGCAAGCATTGAACTGGAGGCGTTACAAGTACCTGCTGGCATGCGGGAATGGCGGATACATTGTATTTTCCTGCACATGGCAAATAGCATGCAAATAGGAGCTAGGTTTGCCGTATTTAGATGGCTGGTGGATGTATCGTCAACCAAATCTAATCGTAATAATTTTGCTCTTCTACTTTGTTGTGTTGATTGGCAGTGCTACTCCGGAGCGTCCGTTGTTGTCTGCGTCTGGTCTATCAGTATCCTCAAGCTCGGAGGTGATGGTGCATGTCATTTTTGACTGGTAAATGCACTAGGAGAGGGGTGAGAAGCGGAAATCGCGAATTCGCAATATAAATTCCAGCATAATCTAGGCTCGAAAGGCCCTGGTTCGCTCTTTGCCGTGGAGTGAGTACTGTATGGCTTGTATGCTGAATCCGGTCCCCAAGCAATGCGGCTGTATCTCCAAGACAGGCCGTATTTTCTGAATCCTCTTTCTGGGGCTGGTAAGCTGCGGGCAATCTTTGACTTGAGGCATACTCGAAGGCTATTTGAGGATATACGGGCTTGCCTTGACCTTGTTGTTGAGTTTAATTGGCGGTGTAGCCATTATGCTGATGTGAGCTTTGAGCAGGCAGTGTAACACAATACGGGTCATCGCGGAAGATGACGAATTTCGCTCTTTGGATCAAGACCGGAAGCCCGTTCATTTGTTCTTTACTACTACAGCATGGAGAACGCTGTAAATGATTCTTCTGGACACTGAATGAACGTCCATGACGTCCGCAAATTCCTCATCGCCAGAGGCGATACAGCGTCTCCTTGATGGCCCAGCATTAACTCCTCCAGCTGGGGTAGAGCCCGATTTTGAGAACCCCGGCGGTTTCAAAGGAACGATAGTTGGTTTTGAGGTTTTGTTCATGGTGATTTCGAGTCTTGCGATGATCGTACGGCTGTACACCAGACTTAGAATCTATAAAAAAGTCAAGTTGGATGATTGTATGCTCATCTCCGCTCCATATTTCAGTAGAAAGTCCTAATTCTAGTAGATCTCGCAGTACTAGGTTGGGTTCGTAAACAGTCTTTAACTGTAAAGTCACGGTGCTTACAATTTCGATCAGTTCGGATATTTGTGGCTTCTAATTACATCTGTGAGAGGTCTGAATGAGTCCTCCGGGATACATCAATGGAATGTCCAGGCAAAGAAAATGGAAGGCTTTCTATATGTACGTTTATTCCCACGCCCATAATTTCAGTCTTCGCTATGCTCATTAATGTCAGCATCTACACATAATCGTGATAATGTACGGAATCGATATGTTCACAATCAAGTTCTCCATTCTTCTACAATACGTCGCCTTGTTCTCTCCTTCCAGAAGAGATACCTTCTTTTGGAGCTGTTACTTTTTGATTGGCCTCAATTTCGTCACCTATACTACGTTCGTGATTTTGGAAATCATCACTTGTCAGACGACGTTATATACACGCTCGCAAAGGAGTAGATGCATGGACTTCCGAACTGTCAACCTTGCTACAGTCGCTGTCAATACTGCGTCTCACATAGCCATACTATTACTCCCACAAGCAATAATCTGGAGGTTACGGTTGACCTTCAGTAAGCGTCTTGGTATCTCACTTGTCTTCGCTGTGGCTTTACTGTAAGTCCTCTCCATATCTATTGGTCAAAACCCAAATGCTCATCTGAAGAAAGTGCCTGCGTAGCATCGGTGGTTAGGCTGTATTATGCCATCACTCAAGAGAAGTCCAGCGATATCACATGGTATGTTGGGTTGAATATTGTTTTGATATACCCGGAGATTGGGTTCGCAATCATTACCAGCTGTCTTCCGTCGTTTCCCAAATTCTTCCGTACGATCTTCAAACCTCCCAGTCCACCAGTGGTAGCCTCGAAGTACTTCTTCCCGACACATGAGAGGAGCCTTGGACGACAAGGCACACCATTGGATAGTGTTGATCGATTGGCGGCTGGTATTGAGATGCAAACTCCTTCTAGTGTCAGGAAGGGCGAAACCATGTTTGGGGAAGCTGATTTTGTGGAGCGGTCGGACTCTAGGAGGTGACATGAGCGTATAGGCTGTATTTGAGGTGGGTTAGAAAAAGATACTTGATCGATTTGAGTAACGAGGGCATGAAAGCCTCTATCGTTACAGTGGAAATAAGCGAGTGCACAAGGCTAGACGGTTGTCTGAAGTACTAGTCGGAGGAGGCTCTTTTATCCCTCAATTTAGGCAAAGGCATTTTTGACCCATTCTTACACTGTTCCAATAATTGTTACGATGTAATAGATAACCTGTGTCACTGTATAATTAAGCATGAAAGCATGAACCATACACGAGTAGAGTTGTAGGACTGACAAATATTAACTTAAATATCAACAAATACAAGCAATATCGAATATCTCTTTTCAACCAAAATTAAGCTTATGGGAAAGACTATGAATAATTTTTTGGAAGAAACCTCTCCCAGTGCATTGATGCTATGTAATATTACATCACGATCAATATCCGTCGAAATTTAGAGTGTCTGTGTAACAGTTCAAATCCAAGCGACGTGCATACAGCCGCCAGATCTCGATGCAACTTCAGCCCTATCTTTTAGCTGACATATCTTTTGACCTTCCAATACTTGGGAATTTATATCGTTTAAAAATGGAGTTGAATTCCGATAACATCGCAACGTTGCTCTATCCAGTCGCGGCATTTTACAGCCCCTCCATAGCCGATTCAAGTGAGATATCCCACAAGGCTAGATCTGGACAACTGGAACCTACAGATTGGAATGTGTCTACTCTGAACCCCAAAAACTGCATCGACAGTCTAAGTGAGCCTGCAAATGCGAAATGGAGGATCGACGGCTCAGCAGACATGGGAACGCAGTATTACACAGTTCCAATCTTCCTACCTGATTTGGTTGCTCTAAGAATTGATACTTTCATCCCGGAAAGGAAGCATGTCCCTGTTTCTTTTCACTCAGCGCTGGAAATTGGTCCCGCCTTTTACACAAGAGATGATAGGGTAGCTCGGTTGGGTATAGCGAGGTATATCGTGAGGGTGCTTGATTATTGGAGTAGGAATATCCCGGATTTTGAGGCCTTCTACAACGATCTTCCGTTTGGGTCACGCATCGTCCTCCAAAATATTGAGACTGATATACGACTCGTACGAATTCAGGTTCTTCGAACCCATTTCTTGGAAAGGCAACCCCTATCAATTGGGTCCCTTCAAGCCATGTGGAGGTTGCCGTCCGAGTCGTGGCCAGAGACTACCAATATATCGAATGTCACATTAGTGCAGCAGCTTCATGATAGTGTTAGTCTGGTGAGACATGCTGACCAAATATGCATCATGAAGTCCTTGACTAGTTCTCCAAAATACCTTTACCACGAACTCAAGGTTCTACTCACTATGGATGCTCACCCCAATGTCATATCGAGACCTTCGCAACTTGTAGTCAAGCGATGTAAGTTTGGAGGCAAGCTTGCGGTCGTTGGATTCATCCTGGACTATTATCCTGCTGGAACTTTACGGGATAATCTGTCATTCCGCCGTACGAGCCAATCTCTCAAATTGCAAGATCAAATGAAATGGTCCATTCAGGTCACTGAGGCTATGATTCATGTTCAGAAGAATGAAATCATGTATTGTGATCTCCGCCTGGACAACATGGATTTGGATAATGATGAGAATGTCATCCTGGTTGATTTCGAAGCCAGAGGCGTGGGTACCTTTATCAGCGCACCAGAAATCACCTACCTCGAATATATACACTCGCTCGCGAATGAGACAACCGAAACTTTAGGAGAAGAGGACCGTGAACGTTATAAGAAACTTCTCAAGAAGTCTGTGGATGGGCAAACCAGGCCAAAGTCAACAGAGATGTATAACAATCCTAGGCACGGGTATTGCGCTTCCTGGCTTTGTCTTAGTGAGGAAGAAAGAGAGGCTGCACAAGTTTACATGCTTGGGAAAGTGCTCTGGGGAATATTCGAGGGTGTTGGATCCCCCGAGAAAGGTCTACTCGTTAGCCACCTTCGAGAGGATGTGTTGGAGTATCCAGGATGGAGGCGCACGCCGGAAATTATCCGTGAGCTGATAAAATCTTGTTGCTTCTCTGAAAGGCGGTGTGAAAGGTTTCCTTTGGTTAGAGAGGGGCAGGTTTTAAGGTTGAGAGATACAGATGTCACTGAAACAGTGGATAAGATACAGGTTGCTACTGTCAAATGGTGGCGAAACGAGTTGCGGAATGCTGAAGATTTCATTGAGAAGAGAAGAAGCGGGGGCTCGAAAGCAAGGGCATCTCGACCCAAACTTGAAGACGTACTGGTTCAACTGAAATCATTTATGAGTTTCGGAAGCGTTTGAAACGCCACGGGGATTCAAACTGCCTAGCTGCCCTCAATGGAAACAATCATTCTTTTTTGACTAGAAAGTTGTTTTTTGGTGCCTGAAACATCATCTATACCAGATAAAACTTAACCATGTACCCATATTGCTTGCATCAAATGAAAATCCGTGGAATGGTCCGAACGAATTAATTCAGCCATGTCGTCCAAAACGTGAGGGAACACTCCGAAACAATTCAAAACCGCATTCTCAACTCCATTTGCAATGCTTGTGTACAGATACATTTTCACAACCTGATAGTACCTCCCTATCTGGGATCGATTTCGTCGATTTGGGTTTGTGTGGACCAGGTAGCGGAAGCAGTGGTGTGAGGTCGACTTTGATATATGAAATCAAAACCCGCTGCGAGGTGTCAGATTTCAAACCTATGAGTTTTTCATGGAAGCTTACAGTTACAGGATAAGAGCTCCGTATAAGATTGAATTACAACGGGCCCATTTGAATTATTTCCACGCTTCGCTTCTTTTGGGATCCCACAGCTTGTCCTCTTGAACCCTGCCCCGGAGTTGTGTGGTACGGTTGACTTAAGGGCAACTTTAGGGGCCATTTTGACTGACGATGTATAGAGATATTTACTTCTGATTTGATTTGTATGAATTTGATGAAAGGCGAATAGTCGGTTCTGAGTTTCGAGGAGCGCCTGTGAGAAAACTGTGAAGAGCTAACTCACCATCACGACAAAAGTCAAACTATATATCAACCATCGCGCCTTCAAACCGATGAGAAAATATTGAAAATTCTAGCTTAACTCGTCTCATCGAACAGATGCTGCTTCCTGTGGTCCTCTCGTCGATTAACTGAGGTCTTCCCCACTAACCAGCAAAGCGTGCAATCGCGTTGCTGTAAAATTCATTATGTCGTCTTGTGGGTCGCGTTTTTTCCTCATCGGTCGAACACGTACATCGGTTCGTCTTCCCCGGTTCATGGCATCATGGACGACAGCGTACTTATAACTCCCACATCCATTCACCGGGAACTCTGACAATCCGAAAAATGACACCCAAATCGTACTCAGCGGTCGGGGGTGGCTTTTCGTCTTGCAATCATGGCTTCGTTTCTTTTATCCTCATGGTCGTCTGAAAACACAAAAATATCGTAAATTCCCATCACTCGAACACTTCTCTGAATTTGTTTTCATAGGAAAAATGTGACCAGTCTGTTCTGATTGGACACTAAGCGAGAATGCAAGCCCCCACGCCCAGCAATTTCGACCCGAATGCTTATTGGCCATGGATTCCCTCATCGGTCCACAACATAAGTACCCCTTGCGAGCGATGTGCGAAAACCGATGTGTCTAATGAATATAATCGATGTGGCAACCGATGAGGCGACCGATGAGTAGAGCTACATTGGACACGTTGAATTAGGTATGCGCTTTATTTTATTTGTCTGCCTGTCGGTGTCATTGTTTTTCTCCGATACATCCATCATTGCGTACTTGTCTTTCCTCAATATCAGCGGGATTTTCGGGCGTTGATCCTATATTCGACCATTATGAATTGTTCGGAGGGTATACAACATCGGCTGAAGTTTGGTACGGCCTATTTAATGGTCTTACTGTTGATTTCTACTCATGCCAAGTTTTCCAGAGGTCTCATAAGGATCTGCTTTAAATCCGCAGAATGATTGCTGAACATGAACAGCCTGGATGGATTTGTGTAACACTCATTCTTCTTGCATATTAAAGGCCGCCGAGCTATGGAGGACCTTTAGCCTCTTCCCGAAGTAAGGTCATCAATTCCAGTAAGTCCACCTACTCCTAGTCAACACGTCTGACCATTATATAGTATCTTCTACGCTTCTAATAATTATTTAAGTTCTCTAGATCTCTATTTACTACGCTAATAAAATTAAGGATTTATAATAACGTGCATGTATAGCGAACCGGCCAAACAAGCGAACCGGCCAAAATTTTCTACACTCGCGATTGAAATTGTAAGAACTCTACCACAACGCCTCTAATTAAAAAACACTATTCAGAAACTTCTTCCTCAGATACTTCCTCTATAATATTACAGGTGCGCGTATTATGACCAGTCTCTCCGCAGTTGCCACAGCGCCGTGCACGTGATTCTTCCCTCGGCTTCCGACCACTACTTCTCTTTATTTCCTGCATTACCTGCTCACCAACGTCTCTATCATCCTGTAGGTCCTGCGCTTCCTGTTGACTAAGTGATCCTCCTTGCTGTAGGCGTGTTTTTTTAGCTCTACGGCGCTTACTTAGTACTTCATTTGCTTGTCGAAGTCTCTGGTTCTCAGCTTTCAATAGTACTATCTGGTGCATTACTTTTGATGCACCCTTCGTAAACTGGTCAATGGCCTCGTAAATAGGGGTTGGAGAGCTACTTTGGTGGCGTAAAATTCGATCTTTAATAAATGCAGTCTGTGATAAGGCTTCAGTAGGGTTATTTGGTGTCTGGGAAACCCAAGGCTGAGCGGAATACGGGGGGGAGTTTGGAGGCGTTGGCGTCTTTAGCTTAAGATCAAGTGTAGAAATTACACTTTCTGGGTCAAATGGAAGAAGCCCAGCCCCTCGGAACCCTCCTCGGATATTGCTTTCTGTCATTGCAATATTAAATGCGGCGTGGAAGGCAGGAAAGAAATCATCCTTAGTAATATGGATGATCGGAGCCCGCATCATATCTTCAATTTGCTGACCATATGCCCTTTTCAAAGGGCTAAAACAGCCAACGTCGAGTGGCTGGAGTATATGAGAAGAATGAGCAGGCATACAAAGAGTGATAATGTTGTTTTCCTTGCAATATTCCTCAAATTCGTCGGAGTGGTGGCTTTCATGGCCGTCGAGGACTAATAGACGATAACCACCAATAGATTGGGACTTTGTATGCTTCTCAAAATGTCGAATCCAATCCATGCCTTTCTCATTTTTTGTTCAACCATTTTCAGGAATAGCAATCACCCAGTTAGGTGGAAATCCACTGACTTGGTACCAAGAAGCGAGGTGATTTTTTGCGGCAACAATCACAAACGGTGGAACACACCAGCCTTGGGCATTAACCCCCTGGATTACTGTAACCCATTCCCGATTACCAGGCTGTACTCTTTTTGCTTTTACACGTCCTTCTGAGCTTGTAATAACCATTGCAGTTGAGATAACGCCCATCATAAACCCAGTCTCGTCAAAGTTCTAGATATCTGCATCGTAGATTCCGTACTTCGCTATTGTGTTTCGTACAAGCTCAAACCAGCCACGAATGACTTCTGGATCTTCGCACTTAGCTCTCGGATAGTCGTATTTTCGTTGGAAGCGTGTCTGGAGTTCTGGGCGGCGCTTAACAAAGTTATAAGCCCAACGCGTCCCGACGCGTGGCGCGTCGCGTGCTTCAAGAAGTCGATTTGCTATATCTTCAATTACAGATATCCGCGGAGGAAATCCTTTTGTAGCTAGGTCGAGGATATGTTGAACAAGTACTGATTCCTCTAGCTCGGTCATTTTCCGTGAATTGGCTAAAATATCGCGTCGTGAAGGTATACCAAGCAAACGTCGACCTAGCTTCCGGTGGTCTACAGAATAGGTCCTGGCAGCAGCTCGAGCACGTAAATTTGGGTCTTTTTGCATAGCTTGGATAGCTAAGAATAACCGGCTTTCGTCATTTTTCAGAGGCATCCTTCGTTGTAGAGAAATTTAATATTTCGTGGAGGTGTGGTGGGGTCGCCGGGTTTTGGCCGGTTCGCTTGTTTGGCCGGTTCGCTATACATGCACGTTATATAATAGACGTTTTTAAAAGTAATAAATTTTAAGTAGTACTTATAGAGATATTTATAAGTATAACTTATCTGAAAAGTATTAAATTTTATATACTAAAATTATATAGAGAGAGTTTACTATATACTTCTTACTCTAGTAAGTAGATTATTTATTCTTTAGAGCCTTTAAAATAACTCTTACTTCTTTCTTAATTACATCTATTTTATTCCCTACTTTATTTATATATCGAAAGTATAGGTCTTAGTTATAATAAATATCTTCTAAAATATAATATATAAGGTTAGAATAACTATAAAATTATTTTAAAGCTTATAAGATCTTCTAATAGTTATAATTATGGTACTATATCTCGTATAAAAGGTCCTAGACCTTCTAGTCTACCTACTACTTCTCTTTAAGATTCTTTATTAGGGGTATATTATAAAGATTATTCTAATCCTTTAAGTATTATCTAAGAGTTCGCTAGAATATTTATAGATCGAATTCGTTTACTAGGAACTAGATAAGCTATATATTTAAGTGGTATTCCTAGTAGTATAAACGTTTGATTATTTCCTAGTATAATTCTTAGATAGTAGTAGTAGATATATTAATAAGCTAAAAAGATAAGTAAAAGTAGTCCTAAATAGTTGAATTAAGGGTAGTAATATACTTCTTATTAAGTAGGCTTTAGGTAGGTAATTATTAATCTCCCCCCTACTCTAGAGAGTTCTTATAGTAGCTATATACTTCTATCTATAAGGCTAGATAGCCTTTCTATATTAGTACGAATTTAATTAGTACTACCTTTTATAGATATACTAGGATTTATTATATTTATTATATTTACTTTTAAAGTTATAGAGAATATAATTATTAGTATATATGTTACTATACGCTATTAAATTAACTAGCTAGAATCTATAAGGCTTAAAAGTTATAGAGTACTAAGTAGTAAAAGTAGGTAGATGTTCGACCCTAATAGTACGTAGCGTATTTTAGTATACTTACAAATCCGTATACTCTAATTAGATAGCTTTTAATATATAACCCGGATAATCTATAGGAGTCTTAGTATATCTACGGAATATAAAAGGTTAACGTATAGTAAGGAATAAACAAGGAACCTTAAGCTTCGACTTCTATAATTCCGGGGTTAATAAAATACTAATAAGGTAAGGTAGGCTCTATTTCTTAAGCTAAGCCTATTTAGTAAATCCTTAATACTACTATATAAAAATCGATAATAGGGCCTAGGATAGGGCTATATTCCTAGCCTAAACTACTATATTATATAAAACCCTAAAAATATAACTTTTTTAATATTTTATTATAAATTAACGTAAAACCTCTTAAATAAACGATTCAATTTAATAGAATATTAATATATAATAGTATTAATTTATATTCTAATTGAAAGTAGTAGAGATAACCTACTATAGTTAATTATCGAAGTATATAGAAGTAGTTAAAAGCCTTTCTATTTAAGAATAGTCCTACTTACTTACCCTCGCTAAGCGTAGGAACGGCCTAAATAGGAAAAGCGTCTTATATAATAAACCTTTATAGTTAATTCTAGAACTATAAGTTTCTTATCTAGTAGTAATCTAAGGAACTATAACCTTTAATTTTATTTACTATAATATATTAAAATTACTTTTAAATAATAAAATATAATAATCTCGATCTCTTACTATCCTATATTCGTATTTATATATTTAATTACCTCGAAAAACTACCTTATTCTAGCTTATTTATTCTAGGAGCCTTATAAGGACCCTTAGCCTAACCTTACTATCTACTAGGATAATAACAACTACTACGACTCCCTCCCCTACTTATATTCTAGGTATTTCTACTATAGCTATAGTTATATTAGCTATTATCTATAGTACTTTAGTAGACCTTGTCGAGTACTAATAGACTCTATAGATAGGCGTAGAATATCTATAGAATCTAAATAAGTTTTACTATTAAGAGCCTCTAAATTCTCTTAATTAAGTACAGCTATTCTACTAGGTAAAAAGAGAATAGTTACTATTAATTTATTATCTTTACTCATATCTACTATATCTTTAGATATATTAGGTATAGGATTAACTACTACCTTTAGTATAGTATTTATTATAAATAAGTCGGAGGTGTTATTAACTTTATATCGAAGGTTAACCCTAGAATACTTCTAGCTAGATATTCTAACTACTATTATAGAGTTCCTATATTCTATAGCCTTACTAGTAGAATTACTAGGCTTATTTATAGCTACTCTAGTATCTAATTCTAATAACGTCTTAGTATCTCCCCTATTAATAGCCTCTAACTCTTAGTTAAATACCTACTACTTAATAGCTTTATTTATTATAGGTATAGCTTATATAATCCGGCCTTTCTTATAATATCTAGTAAAGTTATTAAGGTACTATTTGTGACGGTTCTAACCGCCACTACACCTCAGACCAGCCCCTGGCTGTAACGAATACTCAAACTGGCTAACTAAACTTGGCTGGGTGTTCGCTGGTTGGTATGCTATGATAAGAAGAAGACTATCGGGTTGTTCACTTGGAAGTGAACTCGTTACTTGTATCAAAGATGTCAAACTAATATGATAAGATTGATAACTAAGTTGAGCACGAAGCTCCTATCTAAAGGCAGAAGTGCCAGTCTTATATAGAACCTTCGTTCTCGTGGAGCCTACGGGGAGCCCAAGATCCTCAAGCTCCAACGCAAGCTCCTGCAAGCTCCAACGATCATGTGACCCTGTCACGTGATACTAACCGAATGAAATCCCTGGATCGCTTAGCTAGCCCAAGCGTCCCTATTTGCTATAAGAGTACTGATAGTGCTTGACCTTTCAGGACGCCGCCTGGTCTTCTCTTATCACGTGAACACGTGATTCGTGACACTGGCTGGAACCCAGCGGATACCGTGCTTCCTGAGCCCGGCTCAGTTAGCCATAGCTTGGCACAACCTCCTGTATATAAGAACCTCTGGCTCCCGAGCTCTGCTCTCTTCTCTTCTCTCCTTAGCTTAGAATCCTCGAATAGACAGTTCCACAGTGTCAATCTCACCACTCGTGATACCTGACGTAGTCGTGCTCTTGCGCGGTCCATCAGCTGTACGTGTCGTCACACTATTAAATATTAATTATAACTCTACTAAAGATATTAATCTCTACTAGATACCTAACCTTAATTAGACGTCTATTCTACTTTATAAAATATATAGTTACCTTATAATTATTATACTTAGATAAAAGTAAGAGTTTTAGACGTAATCCTCTTTTATTAAAATTATAGTTTTTCTAATTATTATTATTAACTTATAGATAATTCCTTTAATAAAGTCTCTTTATTATAAATAACCTTATCTAGGTTAAAGTAGTATACCCAGTAACTACTATATTTCTTCTTTCTAGTAAAGAGATTATCCCTATAATTCTAATAAAGAAACTCTACTTCTTATATTATAATACGTTTAACCTAAGGGTTTAAAGTATATAGGTAGAACTAACTTAATATAGTTTATTAAGTATTTGTCTTTATTTATACTATAAGATTCCTCTTTAATTTAGTAGTAATACTGGTTATATATTTACCTTTAAAGCTTTAATTACTAGGAATATAACTATAAGTAGTTATATATACTATAGCTATTTATAAAGCATCTATAAATAGCGGAATATTATTATTATTAGTATCCTTAGATTAATAGATTAAAGTATAACTTTAAGGCTTACGTTTAACCTAGGGGTATAGTTTATATATAATTAAACTACTTATAAAAATAGTAATAGGAGTTTAAGCTTAGAATAGCCTTAAATCCTAGCTAGGAGTACTAAGATCTAGAACTACTAATTCTAACTTTATTAGAAGTCTAGAATAGTTCCAGTACTTATAGTAGTTACTATTAGGGTTCTAAACGTAAGTAGTAGTATATTTAGAGTAAAATTTAGGTACTATAATCTACTACGTATATAAGTACGTTCTATAGGAACTAGAAATAGATAGGTATCTACTAACGTTAGTATAAAGTACTTAAATTCGAGATCTACGATTTTACTACTATTTAATAAAAATATATACTACTTTCCTATTTTAGATAATAGAAAGAGATAGTAAGAGGAATCAAAGGGTTTAATTAGTTAGAAGATATAAATATATATAGTAACCTTTTAAATTAGTAAGTATATTTAGGATACCTACTATAATATTATACCTAGCTAATAATTATATATTTAAGACTATAAACGTATATATTCTATTTAATTAGCTTAATTATTTAACTTATATTATTATAAATATAAGGCTATTAATATAACGTATTAGCGGATATAGACTTTTTAGTAAGCTAGGTATAAGAGTATATATAATAACGTATAATATAATATAAAAGTAGGTCTATTATATAGTAAATATACTAGTATATCCCGTAGGAATTATTACTTTAGTAGTTAGTATATAGGACACCTTTAAAATAGCTAGAATCAGTATCGCTTTTAGTAATAATTAAACCAGCTTGTCACGGATGCCAACAAAGGATAAAGTGTATACAGCTTTTGAATCAATTGCTAGAACTAAAACCGTAGGTACGAAGAAATCAAACTAAAGAGAGAAGAGAATCTGGAAGGAGCGAAGTTATTTAAGTTGTTCCAATGCCAAGTCTCGTCACGTGCTTGGCCAAGCGAATGAAATCCTGTCAAATGAAATCCAGCTCCGTCACACAGCTTCCGTTCAAAATCTAGCTTTATTTAAACTTTAGTACAAATACCCTATAAAATACGTGAGGATTAATACATGGGGATTAATTTATAGAGCGTGAGGAGTGGTGGCCTTATCTACTCAAGTCCGTTCCGTACTTCTGGCGATCCTCGTTCATGCAAAATGGACCAATTGAAAACTTAGTGGTGACGGCTCTGTGCTACCCCATCAAGATCATTGACCAATACTTAGGGATTGGCAGATCATATGCATAGCAGCCTCATTTTCCAGGTCAAACAGTATCCCCGCTTTATTGCATCCCAGACGAACCTTGAATTTTGCCGTGTCTTTCACTGCTAACATTAGTCGTATTTTGGAGCTACGCCTCAGTATCTCATTCAACCAACAAAACAAATGCAAAATGGCATCAGTTCAGCTCCCCACTATGATATCGGAGAATTTATTAAAACACAAGTGTGCCAACGACACGAGCCAATCCTGTCCGCCCCTAATTCTCCCACCAGGCTTCCCCATCCTTTTGGATTCCGAACTTGCCTGGTCATCCATCTTCTGACTTTCACATTGAGGACCACACTTATTATCTCACGGATAAGGATAAGGCGGAGATTGATAGAGCTTTGATTTTGTTCAAGGGTCTGAACCATCCTAGAAATGTTGGAAGCCTTATCTAACATTGTTCTTAGCGCATGGTATTGATGGCGACTTGGTGAATGCCACGAATTTTCCACTCCCCAATCTCCAACACGAGCTTCGAAGTATTTCTTTGGACCTATATGTCGGCAGAGGATTGCGCGTGATTAAGGGTCTAGAGTACGACAAATACTCGGTCGAAGACAATATGGTGATCTTTCTGGGGATCCAAAGTTTCATCGCAGAAACAAGGGCCCGTCAGGACGAGAAGGGAAACATGATAGGTGGGTATAAACATACTAAAGTCAGCAGTAACCTGATAGCTTTCATAGTACATATCCTTACCGACGATACCGTACCCTTGAATCCAATGAAGGAATATCATACCAGACATTCTAAATCTCCCATTGTGAGAACCTGACAGTAATCCCATACCGTGATATTGAAACTAACGTCCACTTGAAGCCCTTTCATACAGATGAATTTGGAGACATATTGGCTTTCCAAACTCGCAGTGCTGCTATACGTGGCGGTAACTGTATCTTGTCACCTGTATACACAATATATAATGAGCTTGTAGTCTCAAGACCAGATGTGATCTGGACGCTTAGCGAGCCAGACTGGCCTTTGCACCTGTGAGTAATTTATACCATCTACCACATCCATAATCTTAATTATCGACATTACCCCGTTACATTACTTACCAACTATACACAGGCCCCATTATCACCAACGCGCCTTACTCTTTTATGAGGACTCTCATATTATTTTCAACGCTGCTCCTAATGCGCTCCTAGGCAGCAAAGCTCACCCTCGACCAACCACGATCCCCTCTATATCTCCTCGCCAGCTCGAAGCCTTAACGCTAGTCCAAGGACTGGCAGAGAAGCATAAAATTTCCTTTTCAGCCCAAAAAGGCGACATGCATTTTTTCAACAACCTCGCCCTTGTACATCGGCGTGATGCTACCGAAGTGGGTCCAGGGGGTAAAAGGCATCTTGTCCGAATGTACTTGAGGAATGAGGGGATGGCATGGAAGATTCCAATGATGCTCAATACTACCACTGGCTGGGAAGAAGCATACCGACAAGGGGAGGATGTGGAACAAGTATGGCATATTGAGCCAATGCCCGACGTCTTCCTTCCACTGATAAGGAAGCCGAATTAGGCATTATTCCAATTCGTCAATGCACTTTTTCAATTACAATTTCTTTTTGGAAGGATTACATTAGCTATATAGGAGCTAACGGTTAGTCAGTGTTTGGGCAGCATCGAATGAGTCGGGAAACTCTTCTAAAGGATTGGCGTCTTAGGGCAGTAACGCATGGAGTTGGCTAGTATAAGGTTCTGTTTTGGTCCAAAGGCCTCCTTCGGGTTTCTAGTTTATAAACATTGTATCTCACCATTCCACAAATCACTTTTTTATTCCATGAACTAAGCTACATCCTGCTACCCCACACTACTTTATTCACACTGGAACGAACGTAGCGCTATTTACTAAATTCATTCTCTCACAGTCGCCTTATGCGAATTACTGTAGTGACAACTTGTGTGACCAAAAACGTTTTAATGTATTTTAATTCAAATAGCTCGAATTTGGTAAAAACCACTAGAGGTTCTCAGCTCAATACTTGTGCGCTGGTGTAATTCCAGCTCTCGGCTCAAGGACTCCAGGTACCGCTGAAGCTGAACTACGATTACTTACGAGGGGGTCAAGAGTAAATTCATTGATCTTTGTAATACTTATTCTAGGAATGAGATGTTTTGTGGTTAGCCTGAAGGCTAACATGCAGGGTAGGTAATCGTTCAGTGAAAGATGGGCGAGTCAGAGAAGCTACAGGTAGTTTTGTATTAAACTTATAGTATTGAAACCTTCGCGTACGAGTAAAGTTCCTCTAAAAAAAAGGTAGTTTACTTAGGTTTCTAGTTGATATAAAATAGATATATATATGTTAAACATATCTTAATTTACGAACATTTAATATAAATCTAATTTATTTAATATAGATTTAAGTCACCAAAAAGTTCTAGAAAACAAAGTAATATTAAATACCATACGTAAATTACATGTTAACCTAGAAAATGTAGCGTTATAACTTTGACAGAAGTGCTTTAACAAAACTATATTTCGCTAAATATAGAGTAAACACGAAATGAACAGATTCACATCAAAAGATCGCGTAATTCACTAATCTCTATATTTACATTCACTACATTAAAGCAAAAATGACGTAAATGTAGCTACTAGGCATCAAGAAACAACAAAGCCTAAACAACAATATACCTATTGTGACAGTTTTTGATTTAGTGAATAAGGGTTCGCTTAGCGAAGTTGCGGGTGTACCCTTCCGTAGATAGACAAATACCTAAGGAGTGCGAAGAGCGTCTCTCTTCCCTCCTTGCGAACAATCTATTCCTTGATCCCCACCATAACACCTATCCCCCGAAATTCGCGGAAATAACAGACCGATTCCCGAAATATCTGTCTATAAAAGGACTTCTCTTCACACTTTTACCCCTTTCCCACAACACAACAAAACATCCTATCCCTCCTCCTCTCCCAGAGTCCCTTGCCATCCCTCACATCTCAACTCTCACTCTCATCATGGCCGACAACCAAATTGCGCAACTCCAATCCGACCTTCAGTATTACACCAATGAAGTCACAACTCTCAGAAAACACTCCCAACAATTACAACACCAAAACCACCAACTAGTCGCCGAAATCCAACGACTAAAAGTCGAAAGCTACGAACTCTACCGCTCCAATGACGCTCTACAAGCCCAACTATCCCACTACACCCAGCCTACCCCATCACCAGCTCCCAACCAAGAAAAAGACTTCACAATCCAACGCCTGGAGCAAGAGGTTGCCCGTCTGGAGCAGCGCGTCCTCGCCGAGAAAGCCGTGTTCAAAAACTTCGCCTCCCAAATTGAGTTGGTGTTCGAGCAGGAGGACCGGATGTTGATCGATGCATTCGCGGAAGTGAGGGAGCTTAAGCACGCTGTGGATAGTGGTGGGGAGGATCGACGGGGGCTATTGGACGCTATAAATGATCGGGATACGCAGATTCTTCAACAGCAGGTCGAAATCAGGAATCTTCGGGAATCACTTTTGAAAATGGCAAAGAGAAAGGCGGCCTAGGGGCTGTTATTAGGGGCGTTTTGGGGGTTCATGTTGGGAATTTGTGGTTTGAGCGGGTTTTTTTACGGGTCATGGATGGCGGAAAGTGACTCTATGGCGGAGATGCATTTTAGGAAGCTTTCTCTGGTGGTGATGGGAGTTGATTTGGGATTTTTGCATGGATGTGCAGTTGATATGGGAGTTTTCGGGAGTCTTTGGGAATCTTTGGGGAGTATCAATTGCCTGCAGATGGAAATTTTACTTGGGAGCGTGCTGGCCCTCAAGTTTTTCGAGGTGGTGTTGTGCGGTAGGGGGTAGGGGCTTTACCGAGGGCGTTCAAGGGGTTGGATTAATACTCTTCAGAAAAAAGTGGGTTGTTATAAGCGTAGATAATAAATATGAACTCCTAAAATAAAAAGACTTTAGCATAGTAAAGTGTTCTAAGTAGATAGTAGTATAAAAGAACTAACCTTTCCAAGAGATTTATACTATAGGTGTTGTTTCTATGTTTCAAGATAAATAAATTGTTAGATAGAGCTTCTACGGGTAGATATTCTAGCACGTAATAAGGTCTATCTATTTGAGAGTTCCTTCTTCTAGGAGAATAACAAAAGATTGGAACTTTGATAAACCTACCCAAATACAAATCTAGCACAAGTAAAACCCTTTAATTGGCCTTACTTCTCCAGTTCTCTTCTTGATCTGCGCGATTTCTTTGGGTGACAAAACCATATTTTTACATTATCTTGCCGATATTGTATTTACTATAGCTATGAAAACAGTATAAACATAGAGGTATGAAAATGGGCAATGCTTGTAAAAACCAAGTCTAGACTTAGTATATCAGGTTGTCGAATACGCATCGGTAGGTTGCAAATACTACTAAGCTGGCTTACGGATTGGGAACAAAAATGCCACTAGCTATATATGAATTATTTCGAAATTATCTAGGAACTCTAGTACGTATGATTATTAGGAAATCTATCTGTCTATTAATATCTGTATCGCCATCTGTCTAATCTACGCAAGAAGTCAAGGACCATTACTCTTTAAACGACGCCCTGACCTCATCCATACCAACCATCTTGTACATCAACTCCCTCTTCCCCCCATTCTCCCCCTCTTTACTCTCAAACGTCCAAACCTCCTCAACTCCCAGGTCGCTCAAAAACTCAAACATCCTTAGATAATTAGTTCCCACCTGCACAACACCATGACTATCATCACTGAGTGTAAACCTCCCACCCATCCCCTTCCACACCTCACATATTTTCTTCCCCGGATACGGTTCCCTCAATCCCTTCCTCAGACCCGCACTATTAACCTCCAACAAACCACCTTGCTCCTTCACCCGCTGCAAATTCCGCAGAACCTTCTCCCACACAATACCACTCCCCATACTTTCCAGTTCCGCGTCCGGTTCCGAAGCCAGTAGACGGATCAAATCAAAATGGCCAACAACCCTCGGTTTCAACTCCCCAAGCATCTCATATTGCAGATCAAAGTAATCAACAAATAACTGCTCCTCACTGCCCGATCTCGCAACGGCTTCAGAGTAGAACTTCTTATCGTAGTCGATTGGGAGACCGTGCACGTGATGTACACTCCCGATGAAGAAATCCACGACAGGAGAGGAGGCGAAGGATGTGATGAATGGTCCGTAGGAGGGTCTTATCCATTCACCCTCGAAGCCGATGAGGATGTGGATTTGTGAGGCGTATTTGGTGCGCAGACGTGTGGCTTCGAGGAGGAAGAGTGAGTGACGTGGGATATGACTCGAGGTGTCATCACCTGCTGCAATCTGAATATGTTAGATAAGCATAAAGCTGGACAGGAGAAAGCTACCTCTTCGGGATAGAGATCTTCGACTGATTCTCGTGGCATGTGTTCGGTGAAGGCGAAGGTCTTCATGCCTCTGGCTATTGCGGCTAGGATTACTTCTTCCAGGTCGTCTTGTGCGTGACCTGGACAGAACTGCCCTGAGTGGGAATGCATTGAGAACGCCATGGTTGCCGTGAAAGCATACAATTCAAAAATCAGGATGGGTTGAAGTGTTGATCTGGTTATAATATATAAAACCTATCGACAACTCATCCTAGTATCACCACCCCGTTTGAACATACCACTAAGTCTCTAACTCCACCCACGTGTCCCGCACCAGCAAACCAACCAACCAACCAATGAAATCCAACCTCGGCTAACAAACTCACAATCCCTCCCCTCCTTCCAAATCCGTCCTAAACCTTCCAAAAAAGTAAAAATTTATCATATTCATTTAACGACCTGGAATCCCATTAGTACTGTTTTATCTCAATAATTCGCAGAGTAACTTACCACCAAGGGACTCGAACCCTCAACCTCAGTCTTACAACCGTGCAATTGTAGGAGGACCGCGCGCTACCATTGCGCCAAGCAGCCTATAGAATCTGTTGAAGCAGGTCCTTTGGAGCGAATATGGTAGTTTTCGTTGGGGGCAGATGTAGTTATTTCAGAATATGAATGTTTAGGGTGGGTCCAATCGGATCGAAAGGTGGAGGTTACGTTCCGAGTGATGGCCGAGATATGGCCGAGGTTAGCCGATGTTTTAGAAGTGTATTTGTCTTTTATTATTCCTTACTCTGTAAATCAACAAACTAGCAGGTAAAGTATTATGCGCGTAATTAGGTTAACTATAGGTACTCTTGCTGGTTTGACTACGTAGTAGATTGCTACTAGCCAAGCCTGATTAACACGTTCTGTCTACCCGTTTCCTGGATTTACAAAGTAAGGGACACAAGGGGTTCAAAAAATAAATGTTCTATTTCTAAGCACTTACGAGTAATAAATATAAAGTAAGTAGGCAAGTATTCTTCCAAGAAAAGGGATTAGAAGACTTTAACTTCAAGTAAGATACATCTAGAATATATTAAGAACATTAAAATCAAACAACTCAAAGCTAACAAAACTTCAAGACAACAACTCTCTTTTCAACTATCCAGTACCATACTACCATATTACACTTACACCATACCATCTACTTAATACCCCCTATCACGACCAGCAAGAACTCCCAAGTTTTTTTCTCCCATTATAACACTACTCACTACTTTTACACCACCCTAAACCTAACACTTCAAAATACAGTACTAGGTATATCTCAAACAATAGCATACCTCGTGTATTTCGCTTAACAAAGACACCTCCACCGTACCTATATTTAAGCCGCAAATCCCAATCGCCGGAACCGTCAACCTATAATTCCAAACAAAGGAAATCTACATTCCCATACAATGCCCCAAACACCGAAAGCAGATCTCCGCCAAAGGTCCCCAAACAAAACACAACACTTCAACATCCTAACACCACCAGAAAATCTCCCCTCTTCTAGTACCCCTTCAATCTACAATTCCACACCATCCCAACTTCCATCCCACAAACCCCACAAACCCCAAGAACCCCAATTCCAAAAGTCCAACCAAAAAAACACAAAAATGGAGAAATCCCACCAATCAACAAAACAATACTTCCCCTTCCACGCCTACCTCTCCCCCACCACCTCATCCGAGGACCTAGAAAAAGGATACGCACTCTACTACGGAGACGAACCCTTTCCAACCGAAGACGCGTGGAGGACGCGGTTCAAGGCTGTGAGGCCGACGGTGGAGGTTCGTGGGGATGGGACGGTGGTTTTGGGGACGAGTTTTGAGGATGCGGTGCCGAAGGTGAGTTTGTTTCTATGGTTTGAACTTTGATGGGGGATGAAAGGAGGAAGGGAGAGGAGATGAGGGCTAATGAGATATTGTGTTTGTGTTTAGGAGTTCACTGTCATTCTTACGAAAGATGAAGAGACTGATGGGGATGGAAAAGTGGAAGGGGTGGAAGATGTTGGACCTGAGGATTCGGATGCGTTCAACCTTTATTCTGACGCGGAGAGTAAGGATGAGATTGATTACGATGATGAGGCTGTTGAGGACGTGAAGATGAAAGGTGCGGGAGCTGAAGGGGGAAAGGAGGAGAAGAAGGAGAAGGAGAAGGATTCTGTCTCAGTAAATTCTCCCTTTTTTTCTTTCTTGCTTTTGTGTGTTTTGTTTTCTTTTGGTTATCTGAGAATTCTGGATCCAAGTGGCTGGCTGTTTTCCAGAATTCTGGAAGGGTGGGAGTGAGAAAGTGAAGAGGGGTTTGATTATCCAAGCCTCTAAGAATGATCAAAAACGTTCTTCAATTCCAAGTGCAAAAGTCAACCACATCCTCATATCCTACAAACCCCTCAGCCCCCCTTAAAACAACCTCACTAGCCCCCACCCTCCCAGTACCTCCACAAAAAACGCCTCACATCCCAAAACAACTACCTCTCCCAAAAATCCACCCTCCACACCCAACTGACCACTCTCTCTCCCCCCTCCCCACCACCCTCCTCACCCTCCTCGCCGATCCAACAACAACACACACAACCATAACCAACGAATTAACCCTCTACTCCCTCGCTCTCAAAGCAAGGAAATGGGCACACAGAAGCCAAGCGCTGGAGGAAGAGATGGCATTCGCGCAAACGAACGAGGGGAAGAAGAAGGATGAGGAGACGATGAAGGGGCTGGAAAAGCAGTGGGAGGAGAGAAAGAAAGCGAAGAAGGAGAGGAAGAGGGTTACGAGGAGTGCGGCGAGGGGGGAGGGGAGGGTGAGGATGGGGGGGTATGAGGTTTCTAG